CCTTGGGTCGCTGTTTGGCCAGTCCCCTGCTAAAGGGTCTTGCATTAAAGCCACACTTCTAATTACTGCTAGCCAAATTGGTTTAGCAAAGTAAGTTAGATTATGGTAATCCTCTTGCTGCTGCACTGTCCTCGAGCAGCAAACAGCACTCATGGGGATGCCCTGGACGCAGCAGCTCTTGGCTGCCTGTTCCTGCTTTAGGCAAATCTTCGTTGCTCTTTGAGGTTTGGATCCTGATGTCGATGCTGACTCTAACCACCGAGACCTCGGTGACTGCTTGCTCTTCTAGGTTGAAGAGCACCCTTTCTGTTTTGCTGCCAGTGGTGAGCTGTAGAAACAGCCTCCCTTGGCAGAACACGCACCTCGAAGGCCTGCCCGCTTTGATCCGCCGCCTTCCCAAAGGAACCCCAGTGACTCGAGGCGCAAGGAGGAAAATAAGGCTGGTTTTAGCATGACTTATCCTAAAGAGACGGGGTGGGGCACAGTCTTGCTATACAGAGCACATCTGTCTGCTGGCATCAGCCTTTGGGTACCTTCTGTTAGTCTTAGACTAATCGGACGAGTCTAGAAAGCGCAGCGAACACTTCTGCCTGCACTTGCTCTTCCACCCCCAGCACCAGGGCTGCTGCTCCCCGCAACACTGGGAAGCTTTTCAAGCTGCTCTCAGCATTGTCTCCTGCCCTAGAGAAACGGTGAGCTCTGATTTAATTGCCGTGTGCTGTTTTAACCTCTGTTGTAGGTGGCCGAGAACTACTGGCTGGTGGATAGGCGAGGGGTGAGGAGTCCAAAAAGTGTTGCAAGTAAAACGTTGTCTGCTGCAGATAGGGATAGGCAAAGCTCGCAAAGCTGAGCTCCCTTCCCCAGGCTCCTTGCAAAACAGCAGTCTGTCTGTACGACTTGCTTGAGTCCCGTCAGTTCTCACTTCCCTTTGGCTCCTGGAGGAGCGTTACGTCTTGGTGCAGGCTTTCAGGAACTTCCTCATCGGTCTGATGCACACAACTTAGCTGCACGGCTGCTTTCTGAATGCTGTTAGTGATATTTGGGCTGGGGGAGCATCCGGGCGTTCTCCAGTCCTGCTGGATCTCTTTTCTTCCACTGGGTGCATGTGGTTGTGACAGGAGCAGCGAGGCACCGCGACCTTCACCCTCGGAGCAATCTGCGCCCAGCCACGAGTATGGCGCAGTGCTACAGGAACCTCAGCTGTCTGGGAACAAAACCCTGTGAGGGTGAAAAGGATGGTTTACAGCCTTGCTGAAGGTGTAATGCTCTGTGAGGGCGCATAAACCAGGGCCGTGTAGGCTGCTGCTTCACCACAGCCTTGGTGGGACGGAGCAAGCCTACAGAAAAGTGTGTTAAGGCCCCGGGAGCACCCCAGCTGTCGAGGAGAGCTTTGTGTGTAAGAGCAAGTCACTTCTCCCTGCTCTGCTGGTTCCCTGGCTGAGCAGTCCGGGCCATCACATCCATGCAAGCTGTGTCACCGCTTCCGCGCCTGCCGCTCAGCATGGAAAGGTGGCTCGTGAAGGTAGTGCTGTGTGTCCTGCTGCCTGCACTGCTCACCTCTCTCCTTCGTTTCCTTAGGCTGTAAGACTGGAAAGCACGTACCAGAACCGCACCCGATACATGGTGGTAGTGTCTACCAACGGCAGGCAAGACACGGAGGAGAGCATCGTCCTCGGGATGGATTTCTCTTCTAACGACAGGTACGTGTGCTGTCTGGGTGGGCAAGTCCTTGTGTTCACCACGTGTTGAGTCAAGTGCAGAAACCACTGGCTGGTATCTGCTTTCTGGAGGCTGCTTCAGGTCTTCCAGCCTAACGCCTTTTTTCAGAACCAGAATTCCAGAATTGAAAGGAGTTTAAAGAAAAAAAAAAAAAGGAAACAGCACAGGTCAGCATTTCCTCCAAGTCTCAGGCCTGAGTGAGTACATTAAGAGCCCTAAGTGGTCTCTGAAAGGCAAGGTCCCTCACCCTTGTATCTGCACATGAGACATGGGGGGGACTTGGATGCAAAGAAGCAAAGCTGTCATTTGAGAAGCTGGACATCAGGGTTCAGGAGAGCACTTAGGAAATCGACTGCCAGGCAGCGCTTTGCCAAGGTCAAGGCACAAAGGGCCCGATGGGAATGTCAGGGTTGCTGATGGCACATCTGACACAACGCGTGTTCTCCCTAGGCGTTAGTGTGTCATCGCTGTAGCAAAAGCTTCATCGATTTTAATCGCTGCTCACCTCTCCAAGGGCTGGAGAACGTGGCTGGGAGCAGCTTTTGCTGCAGGAGTGACTGCAAGCCACGAGGCAGCATCCCCAGCAGCAGAAGTTTAGAGGGGGACTCTTTGGAGAGGGCATGGGGGAGCACAGATCTTTTAACGAATTTTAAGTAAATCTTGGTCTACATAAGAGAAAAAAAGAAAAGCAAAACATTTTGGAAGCTTTTGTACAGGCACTTTTTTTCTAGCTCTGATTTTAGACATGGAAGTGAATCTTGCTGATGACCGCAGTTGGTAGAAATTACTTTCAGGCAGTTAGCAGGGTCACTAGAAACCTTTTGGAACTATTTGGCCATGAAATGACCTTCCCAGCAGCCTGCTGAGCACAACAGCCACCACGCTTAGTTTCGAGTGGCTTGATTGGGATGCTCAGCTCAAGGGATGCCTGCTGAAAAGGGGGAGCAGCCCGATGCTGCCGCTGGCTCCCAGGTCCCTGCCTGTGCGTGTGTGCACAGCTGCAGCTCAGAGATGCTCTCGGGGTAGCGTAAGAATAACTTGTCCTTGCACAGGTTGCTTGGAACCTGCTGTTGGCTGTGATACACCAGCACAGCCACCTTTGATAGCTGAGAGCTCACTGGCATCCGGGCTTTAATAACATAGCGGGGTTGTTTCAGCTTTCTCCTAGAGTTACTGAGGTTGTGGATGGTCAGTCTGATCCTCCCTCCCCTAGCCCACTCGGTATTTATAACTCAATATAGACTTGTTGCTATGGTCTCTGATAAGCGGTTGCTGAACAGTATCACTAAAAATACCCCGGCCACCTTGGGAAGCCTTTTAAAAACACATCTTTCCATGAGCTCATCTCATGTTGTCAACAGAAATAGCTGCGTGCCGCAGTGTCTCCTTGTGCTGGGCACCGGTCGCTCCGAGGCGTGCGCGTTTACAGGGCTTCGTGCCTGCTGACCCTCCGAAGCCTCACGTCTTGCCCTCTTCCCCTACTTTTCGTGAGCTGTAGGGACCAATGGGGGCTGTTAGGGCTGGTGGAAATCTGAGAGCAGCTAGAGCAAAGCCTAAGAACAGGAGGCGAGTGGCTCTGACTCTTCTCCAAGATGCTGCCTTGATTATGGACCAATTTTGCAGCTTTAAGACTGCGCTTTTTTGTTTGACAGCCTGCTGCAGGTTGTGTTGGGGTTCCTCTGCCCATGCCTTTTTCTATCACTTTATTTCTGCTTTGAAATTGGCCTGTTGCTCAGCCTTGCAGAAAGCAGGTGACCATGAGGGCAAAGAGGTCAAAGCAGCCAAGAGAGGAGTAGGATCACCAAGAGGTGGCTGTGCTCAGCCTGTAGGTGCGGGAGGGAGTCACCCTACTACTACACCACACTGGTCCCAGTTCCCAGCACCTGTGGCCGAGGGGCAAACAAGAAAACAAAGCTGGGGATCGCAAAATCAGAGCGAGAACCAAACCACTTACCACTTGAGCCTGAGCTGAATTAATCTGTAAAGAAAGCCTTGAGTTGACCCAACACTGAGAGCCTCCTCTGACCTGTGTGGAGCTTGCTGCTTCTGAATCCTGTTTGCTTTTCCCCTGGGTTTATGTTAACCCTTTAAGCTTCATTGAAAGAGCACTGCTGTACCTTGTATCTGGTTGATAATCCCTGCCAGACACCTGTAGAAAACAACACTGACTCTGTTCCTGAAGCAACCATGGGATCTGTTTTATTTATTTTTTCCTAATGAATGCAAACGTCTGCAACCATTGCTGTGAGATCTGGATAATTGCACGGTGCTGTCATAGATGCCCTGACCTCCTCTCTCTCATTGCAGTAGCACTTGTACAATGGGTTTGGTGCTGCCGCTGTGGAGTGACACCTTGATCCACCTGGATGGGGACGGGTGAGTGTCCTTTGTACCTTCTGGGTCGGTAGCAGAGGGTCTTAGTGATGCAGTATGGGGTATGGAGGAGACCTCAAATGATGTCAGGGCCCGAGCAGATCCAGCAGGCCTCCTGCTGCTGACCTGTCCCAGGTTGGTAGACTTAAAGCCCCTAAATCACAGCGGCTGTCACAGGGAACACCCATAATTGACTTCCCTGTGAATAAACACGCACCGAGACAGTGGCTCATGTGTGTGTTTAAGCTGGAGTAAAGGAGCTTTTGCTGCTGAGTGGGTGTGTAGTGAAAGCTTCTTAAAGGGATCCTATTATGTGTTCCTCCACCGCGCTTGCAGCAGGCAGCGCTCTGCTGAACATGAAGTAAGAATGATGTGTCTCTGCCAAGCAGACGCCTGACTTGCAGGCTCCTGTTTGTGCCAGTCACAAAGGCTGTCCGGCGCAGCGCTTGGAATGACTTTTCTTTCCTTGGTAGCTGCCCCAGGATCACTTTAGCTGCACTCTGTTGCTCCCAGCTGTGGCACTGAATTTGTGTTGCCAAGGTAATCAGCACAGCCCAGCACTGTGCCCCTGTCTTAGTTTTGTTCCTGAACAGCAGCCGTTTTAAAAAAAAAAAAGTCACTTTAGAGCTTTTAGCCTGCTATTTTGATCTGTTTGCTAGCTGAACTCAGCAGTGTGCACATAGGGCTAGTCCTTTGCTGTTCTAGCGTGCTACAAACTCTGTTGTTAACTGAAAACCTACTTTTGGAACACGTTTTTACTGTGCCTTTTTTCTTCTCTCCAGTGGGTTCAGCGTATCAACGGATAACAGGGTTCACATATTCAAGCCAGTGTCTGTACAGGCGATGTGGTAAGCACTTACTGTAATCTGTCCCAGTGATCCTTTTTCCAAGGTGTTTCGGCTTCTCGGGCTCTTAAAAAGCAGGTGCTGCTTTGCGTTATGGGTATCCTGAGACCTGCTCAACAGCCAGCAGTCTCCTTCAGGGGCAGGGAAGGAAGTTTGATGCCAAAGGAAAAAAAGAAAAGCCTGCAAGTGCTGGTAGGCAGCAGCGAGCTCATAACATTGCTGGAGCCGCGCCTTCATCGCAGCTGGGGGCAGGAGGGAATAGGGCAATTTTCTTTGCAAAGGGCTGCTGCTTTGAAGCTCTCCAAAGCAGAATTTTCTATTAATGCGAGTATGCATCTGAAATATTTTATTTGACGTAAATAAGGAAATACACTCTGTACGTATTTTAGGAGTCTCTGTTTCCAGTGAGACATGTACATTGTGATAGCAAGAAGGAAAGAGAAGCTGCCTGCATTTTTCTTTCCTTTTAGGGTGGTTCATGTAAGAATGTAGTGGCCATTAAAGTATTTCTGGCTCAAGCTTCTTTGCATTGCAGAAATACATCCCCCGTCAGGGTGTCATGCTACTGTGTCACCCCAGTGATTTTGACCTGGATTCTTCTGATCACAGTCAAAGATTTAAAACAAGCTAAAAATAGGGGAGAGGGATTTGTTTCCCAGCAGCAGCTGAAGAAACTTCTAACATCCCTCATGTAGTGAGGGAGGGCAGACACCCAAACACCTCAGTGAAGTCAAGCCCTAAACCCTTGGGTGTGCAGCTCTCTATGTCTCGTTCCTGGATGTCCCTGCCCTGCATGTGGAGAGGTGACGGCACAGCAGGATCGGTCAGAGCACCCGTATGGGACACAAATACTGTGCATCATATTAACAACTTAGGCAGTTGCAGGAGATTTTGGAGCCAGCAATGTAGGTGCTTCTGCGCTCTGAATTTTGGGCATCTTTGCTGCAATCTGGGCAAGAGGAGTGTGTCTTGGCATACTTCAGTTAAGGCAGCAGGCTCTTGCAGTGTGATCCTTGCAGGACAGCCCCTGCCCAGGTAGCACTGGACTTTGTACCCACTGGGTCGCGAGCGGCACCCAGGATTTGGCAGCTGCTTTGTGCTCAGTGCCAGCCTGAAGAAGAAATAATAATCCTGCAAGTATTTTTCCCCTTCCTAGGTCTGCCCTGCAGAGTTTACACAAGGCTTGTGAAGTGGCGCGAAGCAACAATTACTACCCGGGGAGCCTCTTCCTCACGTGGGTCAGTTACTATGAGAGCCACATCAACTCCGACCAGTCGTCGGTCAACGAGTGGAATGCCATGCAAGATGTGCAGTCCCACCGGCCCGACTCGCCTGCCCTCTTCACAGATGTGTAAGTCGGTCCTGCTCCATTGAGCGGAGGTGTTTGGCTTTTGAGCAGTGCAGTCTCCAGAAAAGGAGTCCTGGTTCCACAGACTTTGCTCTTAATTAGGTACTAATGAGGAGAGATTTCCTGTTCAAGGTAATAAACGGACCTGGTTAGGTAAACACCGGTGCTGGAAGTTTTGCCCTCTTGGGGCTCCCTTCCGTCTCCTCCAGCCTCTGTTTTCATTTTGTTTGTTTACCTTGGGCTTTAGGCTCTCGTATCTTTACAAGGTAAGTGCTGTGTTACTGCAGTAGAGATAGGTGTGGTGCAATCTGCTGCCTGGACCTTCCTGTTTGCTAGTTTTGTCCTCTGGTTTCCAGGCCTGGTGCTGTCTGGAAGGAACAGGTTTCTCTGGACTTTGCTCTTACACTGAAGCATGTCTCAGCACACGTTTGGAACAACGTGGTCTTTTTTCCTTACACGGTTCGTTTTGGTGTGAAGCCTTTAGGTAGGGACCTGTGAGTCTGTGAGCTCGGAGGCATCCTCTTCAGCATCCATCTGATACACTAGAGAATGAGGACAAAGAGCAGTGCCAGTTTTCTTGGCTCTGAGGAGCTCTTTAAGTGCAGAACTGGGCTGTCTGGAGGTCCCAAGCTGTCTCCAGCTAAATGCTTGGATGTCTGGTGATGTATGGTCTAAAACAGTGGCTGACGTAGATGCGTAGTCAGTTTGGAAAGGCAGAATTTATAGGCTGTCAATATTCGAAGGTTACAACCTCTGTAATTAGTAATTGCTGATGGTACTGATACCATTTAACCTCAAAGTACTCTGTGTCCAGATGTGTTGCCAAGTATGAGGGCTTAGTTGCCTGTTTTTTAGGAGAAGAAATGACTTCACAAGCCCCAGCTGCTTTCCCAGTGTAACGGTGCCATTGGCTGATTTATGCTCTCAGAGATTTCATTTTGTTGGAGTTCAGTGAGTGAATAACAATGCTAACGCAGTTATTCAGCTGTGAACAGGTCTTCACACTTGATTGTTTTTTAATGTATGAGGAAGGCGGCTGAGAAGTTTTGGCAGGGTGTCAGATTAATACTCTCGTAGCTTTTCATATATATATATATATATTTTAGGTAGCCCACCCTTTCCCCGGTGGCAGGAATTGAATTATCTCCTGGGGACACCTGGGCAGCATTCTCTTAATCGATTCCTGGAGTAATGCTTGAGGTTAAAGGCACCGGGAACTTTGATGGTTTTTATTTGTCACCCACCAGTTGGGCACTTGTAAAGCAGAAGTGTCTGTGCGGTCGCCATCCTGGCAGCCTTCCAGAGGAACAGAAAGGTGGTGGGAGATGTTACCGCTGGGCCCCTTCTGAGATGGTGATGGGTCAGGCAGCTCTGTGCTGCTGCTCTGTTGCAACTTCCCCTGGTGTTAGGCAGGCTATTTTTGCAGCTGGTGATAAGGCCCCTGGCAGCAGAGGCTGGAGGAATGCACAGAGGCTTAGCTGCCCTCTTCTCTCCATGTAAGGAACTCTGGAGCTGTTACCTTTCCAAGAAAGGTAGGGAGAGGCTCAGATATTGCTCCAGAGAGTATAATGCAGCCTTCCCAATTTAAATTTTACCAAATACCAGAGGGTCTCTGGATGACTACAATGGATTAGGAGCGTTCAGTTGGTCTCTTTCATATACAACTGGGAATGTAAACCGGGCTTTACAGTCACCTGAATTCCTTTCAGCTGAGGATGTGCTTGGGGAAAGTAGCAGGAGTATCTGAGACTCTGTGGGGTATCCAGGCTGAACAACGCCAGTTTTAAAAGTGCCATAAGTTTGGTTCATTTCCCCTCCTGTTGACTCTGTTTCTCTCTTGTGATAGCCCGACTGAGCGGGAACGCACGGAACGGCTAATAAAGACCAAGTTAAGGGAGATCATGATGCAGAAAGATTTGGAGAACATCACATCAAAAGAGGTGAGTGGTGAGGGAGCAGCACCGGAGGCACTGTTGCACAAAGTAGAGAGCTCTTTTGGCCGTGAGAAAAGACCAAAAGAGAAAATTTCACGTGGCTTCCTTGTGTTCTTCCTCCCCACCCAGATACGCACTGAGCTGGAGATGCAGATGGTGTGCAACCTGCGGGAGTTCAAAGAGTTCATAGACAATGAAATGATAGTGATCCTCGGGCAGATGGACAGCCCCACGCAGATATTTGATCACGTCTTTTTGGTAAGTCTGACAGCAAGTTCCACAGAGCTCCAGCTGTGAGCACACCTAGCCCTTCTCACCGCGTCGTGGTTGAAGCAGGGCTTTGGAGGAACTTCAGGGATCTCCAAAGGAAGAGGGTGGCTGGTCCTGAGGTCACATAATGTTAAGCAAGACACAAAACACTAGGGCTGTTGAGCACTGCTTGGCTGTGCTAAGTTTTACCAAATACCAGCCAATCTGTAGTCCCTGTCACTAGAGGGTGAAATGGAAAAAAAGTCTTCAATTTTAACTTCTCAGCGCTGTTTCCACTGACGTAAGACTAATTTTGTAGCTTCAGCTGGCCAGGGTACCCACACATCAAGTTCTTGGGAAGGACACAGCTACAGCAAAGAGGGAGGGGAGCAGTTGGCACAGGCTGTGTAAAATTCAGGTGGAACGACACTTTTACAGCATGGAAAGTTCTGAGTTCATGCGATCCAGGGGGAGCGGAGGAGTTGAACCAAGAATCCTGGAGATCAGTCGCTTAAGGAAACATAAATGTTTCGCCTCTTAATGTTTTGCTTGCTTAGTTGCCTTTCATTGCTGCTGGGGCCTGTCTAATTGCTACACCTCCTTCTGGTGAGTCAGCACTCCGCTGGATTTCCCAGCCCTGGAGGAACGGACGCAGGTTTGGTTGGGCTGCCTAGCCTGCGAACTTGGCTCAGCTTTAAACAAAGCCATTCCTCTTGGACCAGCTGGTCTGGCCAAACGGAGACGGCCTCTCCCAGCCTCCTGAAGCTTAATGCTATGGCTCAGAAGGGATGGGGTATGTTAATGTGAGTGCTCCCAAGAAATTGTGGTGGGGTGGAGCCAGGAAACTTCAAGTACCTCCGATGTAATGTGTTTTTGTGGACTAGGTGTTCCCAGGAGAGGCTTGTTACAGGATTACAGTGCTAGTCAAAGGCAGCGCAGGCAGCTCAGTCCAAAGCAGGGCCCCGGAGTCTTGGCTCTGAGTACGTTTAATGGGAACAAGACCATTAAATAAAGTTTGCAGGCAACACCAAGGAGGAGGGCTGAAGCTAACGTGTGGGATAGAAATGTTTGCAAGCAGGCCCTGTGCTGATGAGCAGCAGTTTAATTCAGCAGCGTGTGTACCGCAGGGCAGAGCTGTGCTGTGAGGTCTTGGGGAGGCACAGAGCTGCTTCCTACCAGGTGGAGGAACCTTCCTTGGCCAGAAGGAGACAACATGAAACCACGTCTGGGGGCTAGTGTGGTACACCAAGAACCACAATACATCTGTTGGCAGGTACTGAACAGCACACCACAGAGCCCCATGGTCCTCCTTCAGGTTGTGCGCAGCTCTGGACTTTGGGATTGACCAGATCTGTGGCCACAGGCAGATTCTGCTGGAATCTGGGCCATCGAGGCATGAAACATTTGCCCCCTTTGTCTTGCTCAGAATTCAGAGTCCCATCTGTACTGAGCCCGTGAGCGATGCCCTCATTATGAAGGTTTCTCTTGGGAAGTAGTTCAGCCGCATTTAGTTTGTTGCATCAGGATAAGACATCTTGTTTATTGTGTCAGGAGAAGACACCAGACTTGTCCTTGATCGCTGGCAGAACAGTAACACGGCCCTCCCTGGGTGTGTGCCTACCTCTAGATGAGGGCTGTGCATGCTCAGGGCTTCTCTGTGAGCTCTGTAGTTGATGCAGGAGCATGCCTGTGAAGCTGATAGCCTGCACACCGTGACTTTGGAAGGAAGCTGTTGTCTGAGTGGCCTTGTCCTCAGCTGAGCTCTTTGTGTTTGGGCAGGAAGCAAGCGGCTTGGAGGCCCTGGGGAAGAGAATTAGCTCACCAGGGTAAAGCCTGCTTGTTCCTGTGCTCACACAGGCTTTGAGTTCAGGGAGGCGATGTGTATAGTGAGCGAGCTTACAGTGCTGCTGTCTTTGATCTGCAAGATGGGTGTTTCATGTATAAAGAGCACCTGGATGGCTTGAAACACCAGCAGCCTCCCTTCTGTGGGGCAGAGCTGTCAGCAGCCTCCAGGGAAAGGGTGGAGCGGTCTCATCTTTGAGGTCGATTCCTCAGTGGTTTACAAGAAGTGCCAGGGTATGGTGCTGGGCTCCTGCTTTGCAGAGCTGCCCGCTGCTTCGGGACGGGTCTGGTTGATGGGGTGAGATAAGGGGCTGAACACCAGCCCGGTTACCACCCTTCTGTGTGTTCCTCTACTCAAGAGACACCTACTCCCTGACACTTGGCTTGCAAGCTTCCTCAGGTTCACTGGTGACCGTCCGTCCCTCCATCAGCTGTCTGGCCATGCCTTCCTGCTGGCTGATGTCTCTGTGTGTGTTTTCCCTGCAGGGCTCTGAATGGAACGCCTCCAACTTGGAAGACTTGCAGAACAGAGGGTAAGTAGCTCCAGGCCATCAGCTTAAAAGCGAGAGCTTGGCCTCAACACTTGTCTATGCAACAAACTCTATCCTTTACCTGCTGTGTAACCTGAGTCTCATTAAAGGGTTTGCAGATCTGAACAAGCTCTCGCTTCCTCTGAAATCTGTGTCCCACAAGCAGGCACCCTAAAGTAAAAGAATCCCGTTCCCTGACCTTGACTGACATCCCCTTGGCAAACGAAGGAGGCCAGCAGTGATCTCACAGCTATAAGCAGCAGCAAGCTGCAGTTCCTTAGCTGGGTGCTGCGGAGTTGGCCCCGTGCCCTTTGCTCCAGCCTGGTGCTCTGGGCTGAGGCCTCACGATTACAGAGGCATTCTGGAGTCTGGACCTCCGGGCTGCGGCAGGAAGGAAAATGTGTCAAAGAGAGTTTGTTCCTTCGAGTGGGGCCTGGAGGAAACGAGTCCTGTTGCTCCTGGGCTTAGCACTGGTGGGCTCCTCTGCTTTCTGCCTTTCCTCTCTTTCAGACCTGAGGTTAGTGTCCTGTCTCTAGACCAGGTGGGTCTGAGCACCAGGATTGCACAATTAAACCATTATTTACAGGCTTGGCTTATTTATGCCAATCCATTGAGGGGAAAAAAAAAAACTAATCACTCTGCTGAACTGAATTACTACTGCTCCATGGAGAATCAGTATATCAAAACTGACTCCCCTTATTGAGCTAAGGGTCTGCTGTGGTTTCCTTGGGTCCCACTTGACTGCTAACGATCTCAGACCTGCTAGGGAAAAGGGATGTCACTCCCTCGCAGTGCTCTTCTTTCCCCCTGCTGCAGCAGGGGTAACACAGATTCACAAAGGGGCTTCGAGAAAGCATCCAGACACTAACTGAACAGTCTGGGCAGGAGCTCCTGTGACACAGGTGATGCGAACACTTAAAACAGAGAGGTGGTGGGGGCAAGCAGAGCAACCTGACAGACTGTGCAGGAAGAGGCTAAGCTCTAAATCAGGGGCTGAGCTCTGAATTGCTCAGAAAAACCTCTTGTCTGCGTGAGCCAATGCTTCCTTGTGCTAAGTCCTCATTTCCAAGGAGATATGTTCAAGACTGCAGCTTCAAATGCTTTGAGTTTTGCCAATCACAAAGCAAGGCGAAGCTGCTATCTGGCAGCTGTGATGTCTCTGAACTCACTGTGCTCTGCACGCTCTGCATTCTTATCTGCTGTCTGTTTCCGTGCAGGGTGCGGTATATTTTGAATGTGACTCGAGAAATAGATAACTTCTTCCCGGGCCTATTTGAGTACCACAATATTCGGGTGTATGATGAAGAAGCAACAGATCTTCTGGCTTACTGGAATGACACCTACAAATTCATCTCCAAGGCAAAGTAAGTCTTCAGAACAGAACAAACACATCTAGAAGATGTATTACTAACCATTGATTATTCTCCTACTGATTTTCCCAACTGCTTTTCTTCCTTGCCTGCCTATTCATGTTGTAGTCTAAGTGTTTGGAGTTGCCTTCCACACATTGTCATTCTTATAGGTGCTTTTAAAAGAAACAAGCAGGACTAATGAGTGTTTTCTGCCCAGTTGCAGTCCAGGCAAATCGTGGAGATCTGTAGCAGAGATCTAAAAGTTCACCTGCTGCTTAAGGAGCGCAGTGGATTTGCAGTGTGCTGGTGGGAGGGAAAGGCAATAACAAATCAAGTAGGGCTTATCAAAAGTAAGAAGTAAAATCTTGCAAACTGAACACAAACATAAGCTGCTCCCTGCTTTGTTAGGTAGTACTGTGAAGCCCATAGTCTGGAAGTGGGTTCTTGTGTGATGCAGAGCAAACTCTTCCCTTTTACAGGATAAATGCCTGAATAGGTCTCCGAGCTGTCAGTTACACCGAGTAATCTGATAGTGGATGTTGGAAGTAGTCCCTTTTTGCTGCAAAGAACTGCATCCCAGTTATATGAGCTGCCTCCAGCTAATTCAGCAGCCTCCTTGAGGGAAAACTGGTCAGAAAGCAGATTGGCATATGTTGCCTTTAAAGTATTATTTCCATTAGAGCAGTCTGTCTTCTCTTAACCACAGCTGGTGCTGGCAATTTCTCAGACTTTAAAAGCTGACTTGTTTGAGTATGGCTCTCTTGAGCGAGTTACAGAGATTTATTTTATTTAAGATGGTTTCTTCAAAAGACATCACTGTTTCCCCTTCAGTATTGACTTTGAAGTGTTGTCATCCTCACAAGTGTTCTTCTGCCCAGAGTATTTTCCACTGGGACTTGAATGATTGGGCCTCAGCTCTGTGTGTGAGGTGATGGAAGCTGTTAATCTTCCAGGTTGGACCAGTTACCATACCCCTTTCTTTGCACTGTCTGCTTGTTAGTCAGGAGATTTGGGAGTTTTGTTGGTCACCAGGAGCGTGGCCTCCCTGGTTGTCCTGTGGGAACTTCACGTGGCTGGCAGTCGAGAAACCTGGCACTTAAAGGAGAAAATTCTAGGTGCCAAATCAAAATCTTCTCATCCTGCTCTGCGCCAGCGCTGCCCAGTGCATGGAGCAGACAGATAAGGGCCCGCTAACCTCCCTCCTCCGATTTCATGGCTGAGAAACACTTCTGAATTCCTTGGAGCTGGGTGCTGGCTGCCCTTTTGGGCACTACCTGGGCCAGCCTCCCCCAGGCAGAGCGGCTGCTCATCATGCTCCAAAGGCTCTGTTTGCTTTCCTTTCAATGAGAGAAATCTCTCTCAATAGGGAGAGAGGTCTGGGAGGGGGCTAGGCAGGGTTTCTTACACCAGACCATAGCAGTGTTGGTTTTGTCTAGCCAGCTGCCAAACCCAGTGTGTTGTCAGTAGTGCAGGGATGCTGTGTTAGTCTTCAGCAGTTTTCATAACAACTGATGTTTGTCCACGTTGTGATAAAAGCTTTGGAAGAACTCTTGTAACAAAACCTGTTAAGAATATTAAGGTCTTGTTCTTCACTTTCTTTGTGTGTCTTGCTCCAGTTTGTAAATTGGATTACCAGATCACATCCAAGAGGCTACAAGCGAGGCCACAGTGTGGAAAACATGTTTGGTAGTGCTCAGGGAGAGAAGTCGCTGTGCTCTTAAGCTTCTCAGAGGCTGTGTTTTCTGTTTAATGACTCTTTGCCTTTCTCTTGCTCTAGGAAAAATGGTTCAAAGTGCCTGGTGCACTGCAAGATGGGAGTGAGCCGCTCGGCATCCACGGTCATCGCCTACGCCATGAAGGAGTACGGCTGGAACCTGGACAGGGCCTACGACTACGTGAAGGAGCGGCGCACCGTCACCAAGCCCAACCCCAGCTTCATGCGGCAGCTGGAGGAATACCAAGGCATCCTGCTGGCCAGGTGAGCAGAAGGAGTGACCCAGATTTACCCATTTTAAGTCATAACACTTAAATGATTGACTCTGTTATTTTAATTAGGACTTTCATTGCTGCAGTTAAGTAAGGTCGTGGTTATCTGAGGGAAGATAGTGCTCTGTTTGCATGGGTTATCTCAGCTGAGCTTGGGAAAATGGGTGTAATAAAGAGCTTTTAGGAGCCTGTTTGGCTTCTAGGGTTGGTGGTTGGTTTGTTTTTGTTTTTATTTTTGGAGAGTAGCATCCCGTGAACTGCTATCTGAGTGCAGCATTCAGATCTGTGCAGGCTCCAGCAGAGATAAACGATGTCCCCGTTGCTTGTAACATCACTTGGCAGGGAAGTCGCTTTGTCTCCATCTCAGCCTTACAGTTCCCTGTTGAACATGCCCCTCCTCAGCAGCTGGTGCGGTTTTATTTAGATCCCTTTGGTGAGTGTTGGTGTTAGGGGAGGGGACAGGATGTTCTGTGCATTGCAACAGCAGTGTTTATTCCTGCATGGAGTCCTGAGGCTGGTCTGGAGCTGGGCCTGGGTATGGGCAAGTGTGTTGTAACCCCGAACCTATCACCTGATTAGCAAAAAGACATAAATATTGCAAGTTTCTGAGAAATCTGCTTGTAAGCTCTGTTAAGCAATGCCTCCACGTGATCAGCTGGAAGGAGGTAGTGATACTCCGTGTTTCACCAGAGTACAGTATTTTGTTTGGGATCCTGGTGTGCCTTGCAGGGGAGCAATTTCAAGCAGAACTTACCCAAGCTGTGCCCTTCCTGCCACAGGAGGTGGCTCTGTGCATGTTTTGACCCAAGTATTTCACACCTTAGTGCGGTTGAAATGTGCCTGCCCTTTGCTGTTCTTCACAGCAGCTCAGGTACCCACGTGCTATCTTCAGGACACCCAGGACACTCATCTCTGTCCTCATCTTGCTTTTGACCCTTTGGTCTTTCCTATCCACTTGCAAAGACCTCCCTTCCCTTTCTGTGCTCAGGATTTCTCCATCCACCTGCTTCCAGCCTTCTTGTCATCTCTGCTGTTGGGCCAGGTCTGGATTCCTGGTTTTTACACCAAACCCCTGGTGTGACTTCCTCCTATCACTGCAGTATGCGTCCTCTTTCTCTCTCAGCACAGACAAGCAACCTGAGGGCATTTCCCAGCTCATTTATTCCCTGTTCAGGTGCACCCACAGGATCTTTGTCCTCCACCTCTTCCCATGCCTGCCTTCCTCATCCCCGCTCCCCAAACATTGGCTGCCACAGTGACTCTTTCTACCTGAAAAAGCAGGATTCTCAGGATAGGTCACAGTCAAATAGATATTTTAAGAAATGCTGCTCTCCTGCACTGAGGAAACCATTTGAGACAAATACCACACCTGCCTTGGCTGCCTCATGTGATGCCACTGCTGGTACCAGTGAATAAAGGTCAGTGCTTAACTCTGAGCTAGAGGTGACCTGACCGCTGTGGTGTGCTACATAGCGCCGGCAGGCTAGGAAATTAGATCTCTCTGGGGTGCACTGGATGGACAAAAAGAAGCTTTTCAGATGGGAAAAGCACACCGACGTCCTGTGCAACCCTCACAGGTTGGTGAGCACCTGCGAAGAGCCCTAGGCTGGCAGCAGCCGGCGTACCACATCTTCAAGCCCTGCAATCACTTCGGGTAATCTGTCAGCCTGCGAGCTGGTGGCACACGTACAAAGCCACCCTGTACAAACATTCTGGTTAAGGATGTTTTTTTCTCCTGTCTCTTTCAGTATTTTTTTTTCCTCAGGAGGTAAATCTTTCTCGCTGCCAACATTTGCGTGGTGTGTGGCTCCCCTCCCACTTGAGCACGCCACAGCTCCTGACCTACTCTGCAAGTCCCCATATGAACACAGTTACTCGTGAGGCTTTAAAAAATGCAGGAACACTGCATTAACATCTGTGCGTGGAGGGCTAAAAAGCCTGCAGTAAATGAAGCTTCACTGAAGCAAGGAATAGCCTCCGTGCTGCAGAAACGGTCCTCCTTTATGCGGTTCCTTTCTCGGCTCTAACTGCTTTTTCTCCCCTTTCTTGGCTGTTATTTAGCGTTGCCCTCTGGCTGCCTTGTTTATTCCCGTGGTATTCCAAGCCAGGTAAAAACAAAAAACAAGAAACCATCGGATTCACGCTCATGTGACTGCTCGGATTTCAGAGGGAAGGTTTGGGAGGGCAGCCATGTGCTCACACTATCTGGTTACAGTTTTGTGCTGGGCTTACAGCAACTGGGATATGTTTTCCAGCTGTAAAACGAAAACCCCCTGCCTGCACAACAACACGTGTGCTGGGCTTTGGAACAGCTGTACTTCCTGGGGCTGGTTAAACCATCCCCTCCCTCCGGTGATAGTGACAGAGAAGTTAGCCCTGTTTCTTTGATTAGTTATGGGTGAGTTGCAGCAAAAGAGTGCTTGGCATTGCTCGTCCTTGTGCAATTTGTGACCCAGCAGCAGTGGCTTTATGTGGGGGCCTGGAGACCTGGCTGCGGTGTGGGGTTGCCACAAGAAGCTCCAGGCTCAGTGCTAGCACATCCATGAGCTGTTTTCCCCATCCTGAGAAGGCCAAGAGTGCCTGTGGGCTCCAGGAAGGGCCATGGGCTCTTGTTCTTGGACCTGTTTTTAGCACCTCTCGCAGGCTATAAGGCTGGAGGAAGCGTGAGGTGACAAGCTAACAGGATGCAAGGCACCTACCCGGGGCTGGCTGACATCTGTTCTGATCGCAGGTCAGGGCTGTGCTAAGCACGTTTGGTTTGTCCTTGCACAGAGGCAATTTTGACTTTCAAACCACGGGCACAGCTGAGTGCTGAAGCAGCAGGGCTGGAAGTGCCCCAGCACGAGGTGCTGAGCCGTGGGCAGGACTGGACCTGTAAGCTGGTGCAGCTCTGGTGGACAGAATCTGAGGAGGGTGTTAGGAAAGGCTTGAAGCACCGCTGAAGCTCAGAAAACATCAGCAATTCTCCCCAGGTCACCCAAGCAGAGGCACAGGGCAATCCTTGCCATCCTGTATGGAGCCTCAGCAGGAGCCTCCCTCATGGACAGGCCCTGTTCTGGTGCTGGTGTCCTGCTTTGCTCCAAAACCCATGAGGGATGGAGCACCTACACCCCGCAGCAGTGCCCTGCAGCATCCAGACCTTCCTCTCCTCTGAAAGGACCTGGGTCTGCCCTGTGCCACACGGGAAGGCTGCAGCTGGTTTATGGGGCTAGGCAGCTAAATCCATGACGGATCATTTTCCTTAGCTGTTGGGCACCCACAACTAAATTGCTGCATTATAATTAGCTCAGTAGCCTCTGTTAATTAACTTATTGCAGCCCGTGGATGTGTCTGGGAGCGCCTGCTCATGCTTAGCAGGGGACGAGGGAGCTTTGGCCAAGTCTCCTGCAGATTCGAGGACTTTTTGTGGTATCTGCTCTCCTCCTAGGGGCAAGCAGTGGAAGCACAGCCCTGTGGCCGTGGTCACTCTGCAAAGCCCTAGCAGATGTGGCCAGCTGGTGTGGTTTCATGGCGAGAAGTTGCCTCCTTTGCTCTCTGTAAGCCCAGAACATGGGCTGGTTGGTTTTGGCAGGTGGGAATAACGAAGCTGGTGCAGTGCTTTGTGACTGCTCAGACCTTTCTAAAGGGGCTTTCCAAGAGCTGGAGAACTTTTGACCTTCCTTCCTGTGGAAAAGCAGGTGGTGTTTGGGGCCGCTTGTTGACTGTAGAGGATGTCTTCTGTGTTTTCCTGTCTCACTCACACACGTACACACGCACAGAGCCCTGTCTGGTTACCAGGGCCTGGGGATTGACCACTGAAGTTACTCAAAGAGGGAGCCACAAGGAAATGGGGCTTCAGTGCCACCATCCAAGACCAGGGACCCTGTCCCATCTGGCCAGTGCTTACCTGCTAGCAAGTGGAGAAGCATGTGTTGGCTGAGAACCAGATTCTGTAGTCAATTAAATGCTGCAATTGATTGAGTACACTGATAAAAACACTGCTGGGGAGTACGTGTGTGTGTGTGGAGCAGAACAGTGCGGTGGAATTTAGGGGCTGGAAAGCAGCGTGGTGTTGGATCAACCTCTCCAGCAGCAGGTTTGGCCCTGAGATGTTTAGGTTCAGCTGCACTTGTGGTTGATGACTCTGGTGTTTGTCACGGCTTTTCACGTAGGCTGCATCCTCTTAGAACAAGGTGGGTCTGGCCCTGGTATGTGAAAACACAGCTCAGTGTTTCCTCTGCTCTTCTTTCCCACAGCAAACAGCGCCATAACAAGCTGTGGCGATCACACTCGGACAGCGACCTCTCAGACCATCATGAGCCCATCTGCAAGGCTGGGCTGGAGCTGAACAAAAAGGAGATCACCAGCTCGGCCGACCAGATCTCGGAGGCCAAAACCAACGACAACCAGCAGCCCATGTCTCCCATCTACTCAGCCGAGCTGGACAGGGAGCAGCAGCTCCCAGAGGATGCCAACATGATCGAGGAGACGTGCGTGAAGGAGAGGAGGATCCACCTGGAGTTCACGTGTAGAGACTTCCACGCTGAGCAGATGGAGGACAAGCTGAACCTCAACAACATCAACGGCTGTACGGCAGGGTGCTGCGTGGATTCTGTCCCCACTGATAACTGCCATGCTTCCGAGGCCTTAATGCAGCTCCAGCGCCCCTTGGAAATAACGGAGTTCCCGGATTTGACGGTGGACGACCTAGAAAAAGATGCCCTCAAACCCGATATGAACGTGCACTTGGTCCCCATGGAAGAATTCACTTCGTGCTTAAAAGACTTCCCCCAGTCCCCAAACCAGAACTCCCTGAGTCTCCAGCAGAACGCCCAGCCCGAAGTGACAGACCTCAGCACAGACAGGATTGATTTCTTCAGCGCTTTGGAGAAATTCGTGGAGCTTTCTCAGGAGAGCAGGTCACGCACCTGCTCCCACTCCAGGACAGAGGAGCAAGGGAGTGGCAGGAACGGGGTCCCCAGGGTGCCCGCGCTGGAAGTGCCCCCAGCTGCAGACGTGGGTGCAGATGCTCGGAGGAACAGCTCTGGAAACTCCCCTCAGGCATCCGATGACTCTTCCACAGATGAAGAGCAACAAAAGGTTAAAATAACTTGCTTGTTTTTTTAGGAAGTACTGCTCAAACGTGGCTGTGGGTAGTTCTGCTGGGAGCTTGCTGCGGGCAGGGGATTTTCTAGGTCTAGCTGTCAGTGAACAGGGCCACCCTCAGGGGTGGGATTGCTGGATAACTTACCCTTTTCTTTTCTGTTTAGATACTTGCCATTTTCTGCATTTTTTTTCCTTAACCATCTATTTACTGGCTGTGGCAGGGCACTGGCTGAGTCAACCCTGCCCTGCCCTGGTCTGCTGTTCTCATGAAAAACTTATTTTTGAGTTTCACATCAGGAGAGCGGATAGGTGGGACTTGACCCATTAGTGCAGCTGAACAGTCGAGGCCAGCCAGCATCCTGAACCTGCACGGATATTCATCTGACTTGAGGAATCCACCAAATAATGGGACAAAGCTGGCGCTTTTCCCTAGTTGGAAAGCACCAGCACTGGGACAATAAATTGGGGCAGGTTTAGAGCTTCCACCAATGGAATAAAATGAGTTCGTTTGGGCCCAGGGTGATGGAGTCAGGGACATCCTGGTTGGCTTCTCTCCTGGGGCAGAGAGAGGTTTGAGAGAATTTAGCAACCTCTGCGTTTAGGTACCTTTCTGTCCTAATTGCTTTTCACCCTGCAGGGCTCTCACAGGGATTGATGGTGTCCAGGGCCATCCTTTTCTAGGAGCCTCTCTTATTTAAATTCCACCCTGCATTGCTTGAATCTTTTCCATCTCCATGTGAGGCAATAAGGCTCTTCCAAACACAAGAGGCCGACGCTCTCTCCTGTGATTTGGCAGCAGGAGCGTCTGTGCTGCTGGGGGAGCCTCTCTGGCCATTTTCCTCGGGGAGTGTTTCAGTGCTTGGCCATTCTGTTTTTGTTTGCTCCCCTACGTGAGCAGAATCTTCCACGTTTTCGGTTCAAAACTGCACTTTTAGCAGCATCTGGATTTTTTTTTTTGGTTAACTGAACTATATTTAGGGAAAAAAAATCCTTTGGAATTCATGGCAATGAAATAACAATTCTTAAATCTCAGCTCAGGTGGAAATCGAGCCCGGAATATGTTACGCACAGTCCCAGAGACAATATTGCTTCTGTGTTGGTAATCGCTGTGTGCTTACACATTAGCACTTGTTCTTTCTGTTCCTTTTGGGGGGTGCTCCCCCACTGCTTTTAGGCAGCTTGCTGTGTGTCAGCACAGCCGACCCGTTTGTAATTCCCCTGTTTGTGCCTTGCAGGAGGTCCCCGAGCTGCCTGGCGCAGGCCATCTCACGCAGTCCCACTCCGAAAATGCCATTTCTGTGAAGGAAATCATCACGGAGATCGAGTCCATCAACCAGGGAGCAGCACCTGCCCAGCAGAAGGAGGCTTCAGCCACCGCCACCCAGACACCAAAGAGGACCACGGTGCACGACCTGCCAGTGGAGGCCCTTTGGGCATCGGAAAGGGTGGAGCAGAGCGAGGGAGCCTGCGCTGGACACCAGGAGAAGGAGAGGGACCCTCTGCAAGCTGAGCGAGACGCTGCCCCCTCGCCGCAGCTCTCTTCCCGTAAGTCTGACCTGGAGGAGAGCAGCCCTGCGGGGGAGCAGCAGAGCTCCAACCCGGAGCCCAAGTGGTGCCCCGGCTCTGTCCGGCGAGCCACCTTGGAGTTCGAGGAGCGCTTGAGGCAGGAGCAGGAGCACCAGCACGCGCCCCCAGCCTGCGTCTTACCGACCCGCAAGAACTCCAGGAACGACTCCGCTGCTGCTGAGCTCCTGCCACGGGGGAAGACGGAGGAGCCACCCCTGGAGCTGGCTCCAGAGGACAGGGCACGGAGCGAGGAGCTGCTGCCCCCGGGGGCAGAGCAGCCTGCAGGCAGGCACCCACCCGCACCTCGTGCTAATCCTGTGCAGGAGCCACTGCCCGCAGAGCCCAGCCCGGGGCAGGAGGTGCAAGAGCGCAGGACGGTGGTCTCGTTTGATGGCACGGAAGAGCCAGCACTGCCTTCCCTCCTCCCCAAAAGAATCGAAATCATCGAGTACACTCCCACGGTCAGGGCTGCGGAGCTGGCCACGGCCGCCCCTCCGCTAGATGAAAACTTGAACCCTTCGTTGGGCTCCGAGAAGGCCCCGACCTGTCCCGGAGCTCCGACGCTGGTCAATCTGTCACTGCCAGAGCATGCGGTACAAAAGCAAGCCACCTCCACCCAGGGCAGCCCCAGCGAGGAAGGTGCTGGGCTCTCTCTTCACCCCGGTGCTGCTTCCCCCTCTGCCCAGGTGGCCAGTACGCCTTCAGCCAGCCCCGATGGCTCGTCTTACCCCTGTGTAGTTCACCTGGAAGGCGTCACCGAGCAGAGCACGAGCACAGACACTGAGCCAGTGGCGCCGTGTGGCGCTGAGGGAGATGCAGATCTCCCGTTCAGGGACAGCAGCCAGCCTCCGTGCCGGGGCAGTGCTGGCTCCTCGAGGCAGCTGAGCGGCGAGGACTTATCCAGCCACCGTGCCGAAAACATGGACCTGCTGGACATCTCCTTCCTGTGCTACAGCCTCCCCCACAGCTCCAGCAGCCACAGCGTGGAGGAGCGCAGCAACAGCCCCGGGCTGGTCAAGCAGCGAGCAAAGGAAATCGAAGCACGGATCCGGCACGCGGGGCTCACCACGCCTTCCCACATGAAACGCTCCGCGTCCTTGGCCAAATTGGACTGCCTGGACCTCTCCAAGGACGACTTATCCGAGAGGCAGTCGGCCTCCTCCAACGCCCACCCCCCCGTGCTTCTCACCTGCGTCGCCCTGGGTCGAGGCTTCCGCGGGGGGAGGCTGGAGGAGGGCTTGGAGAGCCCGTGGGGGAAGCACCGCCTGTCCTCCCCGCCGGCCCTCGGGGATCCCAAACCTGCTCAGCATTTCGTAGAGCAGCTCAGAACAGCCGAGTGCATTGCCCAGAGCAAGCCGGTGGAGCGACCGCTGGCTCAGTACGCCAAAGACTGTGGCTCCAGCCAGCAGAGCTCGGCTCCCGGCACGGCTCCGACGTGGACTACCTCCTCGGAGGGTCCTCCGCTGCTCCTGGACCCCTTGTCGGCAGCGCGGGGCCCGGCTGTCGCCCCCCGGCAGCAGCACGGTAGAACTCACCCCTTGAGGAGACTGAAAAAGACCAATGATAAAAAGCGGACAACCAATCCCCTCTATAACACGATGTGATCCCGAGCCCTCGGCTGCCATTTCCTACAGAGAACCCGTGTGGTTGCGTTCACGCAAGGGGCAGGTGTAATATAAGGATCATGCACTTTATGGGTTAATTTTATATATATATATATTGTCATTTGACTGTTCCTGGCGCATGTAGGTGTGGGTTGGTTCTTCTGTGTGTGACTCTGACTGCAGGACTGTTTGTTTTTTTGTTTTTTATTTTTTTTTATTAACTCAGATAACCTCAAAGTCGTGTTTTTTTTTTTTTTTTTTTTTTTGGCTTGTTTTAAAAGAACACCCTTACCCAGCAACACGCTATCGGCTCGCTTCGGCAAGGTGGAATGTTGCTTAGAAGCAGGTCCTAGTCTCTGACTTGAATTTTTTTTTCCCCATGCCACGAAATGGTGCTGGGCAGCTGGGTTGAGAGCCCACGTAACTGTGAAGGCTGTGCCAAGACCCCTTTGTTTGGCCTTTTCTTTTCTTTCTGCGAACTGGAACTGCACGGTGCTGGCAGGTCTCATGGAGCTGCTCCAGGACCAGCCCCCAGGCTCGGTTCTGCTGGCGAGGAATGCACAGGGTGGGCTCCGAGCCCCCCAGCACCTCTCAGCCCCTGCTTTTTTGGGGCCTCAGCTCCTCCGCCAGCTGCCCCATCCTCTCTTACCCCAGCCAGAGCCTGTGAAACCCGGGTGTTCTTCTAAAACAAGCGCCTCGTTAGGGTGTGAACCCTTCCATTACTTGAATACTGCTGTGGGCCTTCCAAGTTCATGGCCATATCATCTGTCCTCTGCCCTCCTGCTGCCTCCCCTCCACCTGAACGCTGGTCTGGTCTCGTGCTGCCTGAGTTTTCCTCTCCCCCTGCCACGCTCACGGGCACTTCTGTTCGCTTCCCGACCCAGAGGCTGTTGGAGTTGTTACACGATGTATTCCCCTCCTGAATGCAAAGCTTTGTCCTCTCTGCTGTCACTCCTACCACTCAACCCGGAGGGAAGATCTTTTCTGGAAGTCTTTTTTCTTTTTTTTGCCTAAATTGTACATACGGTATTTATATAGATTTTTTGTTGTTGTTTCTATTTTTTTTTAAGGGCAAGACTGCATTCTGTAAACTGGAAAACAAAACCACCTAACTCACACTCAGTGCTGTTCCTTGTAATCTGCACAGAACCGGAGTGGCTTTGACTTTGTGAGCCGTCTTCCCCTTCCAGCCAGTGAGCCTCGAGGCTGGCTTTTGCCAAATGTGTCCCGGCCCCTCCAGTCCTGCCTTCACCCCTGTCACCCTGCTGCAGGAGGGGGTCTGTGCCTCTGCCCCTCTCCCTCCTGCCTGAAGCTGGGTTTCAGAAGTGCCAGGGGGACGTGGCCAGCCCTCCCCGAGCCATTCTGCAGGTTCTTGCGGCGCCTGCTCCCACTTTCAGCTCATTATTTACGGTTCCCGAGCACTTTGGCTAAATCCAAACTCCTCCTTTCCAGCCGTGCATGTCCACAAATTACCCGGCTGCTGTCGGGAGCAGAGAAAAAGGCACTTGAGGGCTGCAGGGGAGCTCTGGGTCCTGTCTGCAGTCCCGTGGCAGGGCTATGGCAGGGCACGCACGGCGTGTCTGAGCTGGTGCCTGGCGCCGGCCCAGACCCGCTCCCAGGAGGAGCTCAGCAGTGAGAAGATGCAGAATGGCTCCAGCTGCTGAAAGCCCGGCACGGAGAGGACATGGGGTGGGAGGAGCAGCGGACAAGGCCGTGCCTAGAAAGCAGCACCCATGCTGCAGAGCCTTGCGGGCTCTGCTGGGCCGAGCTCAGCTCCAGCCGCAGAGGAGCAAAAAACCCCGGAGCGTGGCGGAGTATTGGGAAGCAGCACAAATCCCCACTGGGAGAGCTGGAGCCCTGTGGCAGGGCAGATTTTGCAGTGAGCAAGGTGAAGTGAGCCTGGGGTGGGATCCCACCTCCCTGCCCTCCTCTAGATGATCCGAGGGATCCTTCGCTTCCTTGCCTGGGCTGGAGCGCAGCCCGGGGTGGCCCAGCAGGGCCCTGTGGGGGTCAGGTAGCACGGTGGCCCCAGCCAACTCCCTGCGAGTCACCCAAGGCCCTGAGCTGGGAGGCCAGCTCCTCCGGGACACATTTGGCTTCTCCCAGACAGCTCCAGCTGGCTTTGGAGCCAGGCAGGCAGTGAGGAAAGGCCAAGGGCCTCGTGTCACCCGCTGAAGGGCAATTTCAGCCCTCGCCTCCCCCACCGCCCTCCGCACACCCCGCTGCCCACAGGGGCAGAGGGACTGGGTGCCCCAGAGGGCAAGGAGCTGCTGGGGAGGGAAAGCCCTGTGTCATTTGTCCCCTCCAGGAGCAGGCAGATGATGGTTTGGGGTTTTCTTCTTGCCCGATTTGATCTGACACCTACTTTTTGCAGACCAGCAGCGCTGCTTCCTCCCAATACTCCGCTCCTCTCCGGGGGGAGCCGTGCCGTGCTGTCCCAGGGCAGGTCCCTCTCCTGCAGAGCGATGAAAGCCTTGGGGGCTGGAGGCTCTGAACGCGATGGCAGAAGGGGAGCGGGCTGGAGGGGCGCAGCGCAGGTCCTTGGCAAGTGCCTGGGCTCAGAGGTCCCTGCCCGGGGACAGTTGTCCCCTCTCCGTGCCGCTGGCTCACCCCTGGTCCCCGCGGCCACCCCAGTGCTTCCTGCGCCCCGCTGAGCACCACGGGGAGCAGCACCTTCCCCCAGGGAAGGAGCAGCATCTCCAGAGGGCTCGGCAGCTGACGAGCCTCGCTGACAGAGGGGGGTTAGGAGAAACGCGTTGTTTTAAGGGCATTTTTGTACAAAGCAGCTGTTCTGGTCTCTGGCGAAGCCCTCTCGGAGGACGCTTTGTTGTTTACATTGACTCCTGTACAATATCTCAGCCATTGCCTCCCCCCCAAACCCCCCACCTTGCCCGCCTGATCTCCGGCTGTACTGTAACGTGTGAGCCTTGCACAAACGGATAGCGTGTGCGTGAATCTGGTTTTTACACTGCGTTCTGTTGCACTCGATGGTGTGTGTGTGCGTGTGTGTGCGTGCGTCCGGTCTGCTGAGAAGTCGCCACCTGTACAGATCTCTCCCCTTCGGCCCTCTCCCGGGGGGCACGGTCCCAGCGGGTGGCAGGAGGCGACGCCGCTTTGGGCTCCTTTTTGGGCTCGAATCCGGGTGAGGATTTTGAGCCAGGGCCCCGTGGAAGGGAGCCCGGTGGCACCCGGCACCGCTCGGACTCGGTGTGGGCACCGTGGTGCCGCTCGCCCTTGCCCTGGGAGCCCCGCAGCCCCACCAGCCCTACTGGGACGAGGAATCCACACCTGCAGCGGGTCCCTGCTCACGGTGCCTCCTGCCTTAATCCCGTCCTGGCTCTGCGTAAAGGGGCCAGAGCCCTGAACCCCTGCTGGCGTGGGCAGAGGTGGGAGCCGGGGTCGGGCTGGGCAGGGGCTTGGCCACCTTTTGGCAGTGCCACGAGCGGTGCCCCCAGCCCGGCCGCCCTGCAGACATCTCCCTTGGCACGAATGCGAGTGCCGGTGCCTTTTCTTTTCCTTCCTGGAGATGCGATGTCCGTGCGGGGTTTGTCGGGCTGGCTGTGGGGCAGCGAGCCCATGGGGGCTGCAAACCGGGGAGGGGAGCAGAGTGCTGCCCTCGGCCCCTCCCGGACCTTCCGTGGTGGCTGGGATCGTCCCTTTCCCCCTCTAGACTTAAGACCGATGTGCTCAGCTGTTTTTAAATGTGAACTTGTGCACTGATGTGCAGATTCAATGTTCTTGTTACCGAATGAATAAAGTTTTATTTTGACGATGACGTCCGCGTGCCGCCCCCTGTTTGGGACTGGGTACGAGGAGGGGGGTGATCCCTGCTGCTGGCAGAGCAGGGACATGGGGGGGGCTGTGGGGTTTGCTTCTGGCCCCCACCAGAGGGGTAAAGGGCCTCCCCTGCCATAAGGGACCTGTGTGGGGACCCAGGAGCCCAGCCCCAGCTGCTCCCCTGCGGGCTCCCTGTGCCAAATCTGGGCCTAAGATGAGGGGTGGGGATGCGGAGCCATCCCTGTAGGGCTTGGGGAGTTTTGGGGTGCCCCAGTCCCACCCCATTCCCCCAGCACCCACTGGGAAAAGGTTTCCTGGGGCCTCTCCCACCTTGCCAGGGTTGAGGTGCTGGGGACACGGGGCTCGCTCTGTGCCCCAGCTCCAGGCACCGAGCCGGGACCGTGCTGGGACGAGGTGTGGTGTGTGGGGGTGCCCCTGCAGCCCCCTCCCTGCCCACCACCCCTTTGGCAGGCGGGTCGGGGCTGTCACCTCTCGCTGCCTTTTTGCCAGCTGCCCCCTCCTGCCCGCCTCAGCCAATGCTGGGCCCGGCTCCGCTCGGTGCCCTTGTAGGGTCCAGCGCTCGCTGCCTTTCCAGGAACCCAGGGCTGCCCCCCCCAGCTCCCCCAGCCCTACAATCCCTTAATCCCCTTGGGCCAGGGCATCCCTGCGGGGCCGGGCTCTGCTAAATCCTAAAGGCAGCCTGTGAGCGTCCCTGCAACCATCCTAAATCGTGGGGTGGGGGCTCAACCCCTGCCTGCAGCCCCCTGAGGGGGGGGTTACGCGGGTGCTGGACCCCCCAGGAGCCATCCCACGGCCGTGATCCCCGGGGGGGTTTGGGGTTGGGGTCTCCGGGACGAGCACCTTGCGGAGAGGGGTGGGGGGACCAGGAGGGGCTGCGCGCTGCGGGGAGGATGCTGCGGGGTGGGAAGAGGACAAGGAGGGGAGGGGGGGGGGGGGGAGCGGATTTTCCCTGCACCCCCCCTCCCCCGTCCCCATCTCCCTCCCAGCGCGCGGGGAGGCTTCGGGCACCCCCTCCCCATCCCCATCCCCATCCTCATCCCAATTTGGGGCTGGTGGGGCAGGGCCGGGGGTGCTGGGGGCGGGCAGGGGCCGGTGCGGGGCAGGCGGGGCCGGGTCCCCCCCCCCTCTCCCTCCCTCCCCGCTACCCCTCCGCCTCCTCCCGGTGCCCGCCGCGGGGGGGCCGTGCCGGCCCCGGCTCCCGGCTCGGCTCAGCTGTTCCCTGCGGCAGCGGCACTGCGCGCCCAGCCCCAGCCCAGCCGAGCCGAGCCGAGCCGGGAGGAGCGGGGCCGGGGGCCGGGGGCTACGGGGGAACGGGGCCGAAACCGGGCGGAGCCGAGCGGGGCGCAGCGCGCACGGAGCCGCGGAGCGCAGGTGGGAAACGGGGACCGGGCCGGGCCGAGCCGGGCTGAGATGGGGAGAAAGGAGGCAGGAGGAGGAGGAGGAGGAGGAGGAGGGAGCCCAGGGAGGAAGGGAAAGGGGGGGGAGAGCCCCGGGGAGAGGGCGGCCGGAGCTGGGTGCGGGGTGCCGGGCCCCCGGCCCCTCGCCCGCCCGCCCGCGCCCGGCGGGAGATGGCTATAAATGGAAAGTGACCTCCGGGCGGCCGGGCAGCCGCTGCGGATTCAATTGTGGCAACGTAATGGCACGGCCGGGAGGGGGGCTGGCCCGCCGCACCCCGCCTGCACCCCGCCTGCACCCCGCCTGCACCCTCCTGCACCCCGCCTTGTACCCAGTCTGCACCCTGTCTGCACCCTCCGGCACCCAGCGCGCACCCACCGGCACCCTCCTGCACCCTGGCTGTACCCGCACGCACCCAGCGTGCACCCGCCTGCACCCAGCCTGTGCCCAACCTGCACCTGCTGGCACCCCAATGGCACCCCAATGGCACCCCAGTGGCACCCCATCTGTACCCAACCTGCACCCCCTGCTCCCCACCTGCACCCTCCTGCACCCCCCAGTCCCCTGCCTGCACCCCTCCTGCTCACACCCCACACACACACCCCACACACACCCCTCCTGCACCCCTCCTGCACCCCACCTTCACCCCACCCCGCCAGCCAGGCCGCCCCCCCCTCCCCTGTCCCCACCTGCACCCCAAGCCACGCTCCCACTGGGAGCTGTGCAGCACCCTCAGGGTGTCCCCCACGGAGCCCCCTTGCTGTCCCCCAGCACTGGGGACCCTCTCCTGGGGCAGTGTAGGGGGGGACACCAGCGGTGCCAGCTCTGGGACCCCCACCCCTGGCTCCTGCACCCGCTGGGGTGATGCTGAAGGGCCACGGACCCTTGGGGACCTGCAGGGAGCCGGCAGAGGCGGCTCGGCTCGGTGCTGCACGTGGCCTGGCCAAAAGCCACCCGACCGGGACACCGGGAGCTGAGGGTCCCCTGCCCCTGCCCGCACCGGCCCCACAGGCTGGGCTCTGAAGGCTGGACACGGCCCCGGCAGTGGCTGCACCCCCAGAAGGACGTGGGGGTGCCCCCAGGAGGGGTCAGCAGCTCATGGGTGCTGCAGAGCCCCAACCTGGGGGGTTTTGGGGTGCCCAGGGGGCTCGGTGCCCCCAGGCAGGTGTCGGGAGCAGCGCAGGTTCAGGAGGGGACAGGGTGATGGGGGCACCGCGTGCCTGGCTGGGACCAGGGCTGGAGCCCCCCAGGGCTGTGCTGAGCACTGGGGGCTCCTCTCTGCACCCCCTGTGCGCGTGGGGCCGTGGGGCTGTGCCAGCAGCGGAGCCTGTGCAGGATCCGACCCTCACCAGGGGTCCTGTGGTGCGGGGGGGGCGCAGAGCGGGTGGTCCGTGGGGAGCCCTGGGTGGGGGCGATGCTGGAGGTACCGCTGGAGGCACAACCGAGCCGGGTGACCTCAGGCCACCGCTGCGGGACGGGACACGAGGGGACAAGCTGTGAGCTGGTGCGTGGCACCTCCTGCGTCCCCTTGGGGCTTCTCCTTTCAGCCCCGCTCCTCCACTGCTGCTGCTCCTGTGCCCACCCCGGCCATGGCCAGGGGGCACGGCATGGCCATGGGGCACGGCACGGCCATGGGGCACGGCACGGCCATGGGGTATGGGGCAGGCAGATGGCATCACGCCCCGGGATGCCCGTGCCCAGCACCCATCTGGGTGCACCGGGGCCACCCCAGGTCCCTGTTACAGGGCCAGGACCACCTCAGGCTCCATCCCGTGCCCCCCTCCACACCTCCATCCCCACCATCACCGTGTCCCCTGGCTCCCTCCTGTACCCGGCTCAGGGAGGGGTCCCTGGGAGCGCTGGGTTTAGGGAGGGCCGAAACACCCCCGTGCCATTTGGGGGGGGTCCCACGGCCTGACCCCGCGCCCCCCCAGCCATGAGCCGCCGCGTGGTGCGCCAGAGCAAGTTCCGGCACGTCTTCGGGCAGCCGGTGAAGGCCGACCAGATGTACGAGGACATCCGCGTCTCCAAGGTGACGTGGGACAGCTCCTTCTGCGCTGTCAACCCCAAGTTCTTGGCCATCATTGTGGAGTCCGGCGGCGGGGGGGCCTTCATCGTCCTGCCCCTCGCCAAGGTGAGCGGGGAGGGCAGTGGGACACGGCCCCCACCCGGGATGCAGGGGGGATGCAGGACATGGTGACGGGCTCTGCTCTGCTCAGCTTTGCCCCAAAATCCCCGTCCCCATGTGGGGGCTCCGGGCAAAGGCACCCTGGGGCAACCGAGGTGACATGGGACCCCCCCCGGCTGCTTTTTCCCCTGCCCAAATTCCCCCTCTGCGTGCGAAACCCAGGGGGCACCACAGCAGGATGGGGTCTGCCCTGCCCACCCCAGCAGAGGGGCTGGGGACCCCCTCTTTTAGCCCCCCCCCACCATCAGAGGGGACACAAAGCAGCCTGGTCCAAGGCACGTCGCTCCCTTCCACCTCCCTGCGGGGGCTCGTGCCTCAGTTTCCCCCAGGCAGCTGCAAAACTCTGCCTGTGGTCAGGGTCCCCTGCGTGTCCCCCCTCTGAGCAGCCATGCTGGGGTCTGGGGGGGGTGGTCCCGGCGTGCCCCCCCCGTCTTTCTCTCCCCTCCCCATCCCCTGGGTGCTGATGCCGGGCTCTGCGCCTTGCAGACGGGGCGCGTGGACAAGAACCACCCGCTGGTGACGGGGCACACGGCGCCCGTGCTGGACATCGACTGGTGCCCCCACAACGACAACGTCATCGCCAGCGCCTCCGAGGACACCACCGTCATGGTGAGGGGCCCAGCCCTCCAGGGAGGGGGGGGAGCTAAAAGGAGGGGGGGCTAAAGGAGGCCCTGACCCCCCTCCCGTCCTGTGCTTCGCAGCCTGCGAAGTGTCACCGGCCTATTTTTAGCCCCGGTGCCATGCGTTCGCGCTGGCGGTGGCTGCTCTCTCCATGATGCAGCACTTTGTGCTAAATATACCCGCCCCGGCGACTCAGCACCCAGGAATAGCCGGGGGGGGCCGGGGGCTGCGTCCTGCACCAGGCAGGATGGGGTCTTGTGTGTCTGTGTCCCCCCCCCTGGGGCTCAGGAGCACCCCGTGCGCCACAGCCGGTGCCAGGGATGGAGGCGCCGCTGTCGTCCCCGTGGCTTGAACTGCAATTAATGATGCTGTTAATTGGCTCCGGCGCTCTTAGCGCACGCCGGGGGGAGGTCGCCACCCCCGCGCTGTGCTCTCCGTGCCCCCCAGGTGTGGCAGATCCCCGACTACGTGCCCGTGCGCAGCATCACGGAGCCGGTGGTGACGCTGGAGGGGCACTCCAAGCGGGTGGGCATCATCTCGTGGCACCCCACGGCGCGCAACGTCCTGCTCAGCGCAGGTAAGGGCTCCCCGGGGGCGGCTGGACGCGGCCAGGGGGGTGACAGCGTCCGTCCGTCCGTCTATCCACCCCCGTCCGTGTGTCCCCATCAGGCTGTGACAACCTGGTGATCCTCTGGAACGTGGGCACGGGGGAGATGCTGCTGGCGCTGGAGGACATGCACACCGACCTCATCTACAACGTGGGCTGGAACCGCAACGGCAGCCTCCTGGTCACCACCTGCAAGGACAAGAAGGTCCGCGTCATCGACCCCCGCAAGCAGCAGGTCGTGGCGGTGAGTGTCCCCCCCCCGTCCCCTCTTGGTGTCCGTGTCCCTGCTGTGCCCACCCACCTCCCCGCGGCCCCGCTAACGCCCCCGACCCTACTAACCGCCCGCGCCCGCGCGTCTCTGTCTTTGCCTTTAACCCGCTAACGGCCGGCGCAGGAGAAAGACAAACCGCACGACGGCGCCCGCCCCATCCGTGCCATCTTCATGGCCGATGGCAAGATCTTCACCACCGGCTTCAGCAAGATGAGCGAGCGGCAGCTGGGCCTCTGGGACCTGGTACGAGACGGCGGCGCCCGGCCAGCGCCGTGCTGGGGACCCCGCCGTGCCGAACCGTGCCGTGCCGAGCGGGGTCCCCCCGGGACCTCGTGCGCCCCCCAGGACCTCCCCCTGTGCCCACCACGTGCCCGCCACGAGCAGGACCCAGCGGATGTTTCAGGGACGGATCCGGACTCCCCTCTCATCCCCTCCCCTTGCCCTGTGCTGACTCTGTGCCCCCCCCTCCAGCCCCCCCAGGAGAGGTTTGCCCCCCACGAAGGGCTGAGGCCCGTGCGGGCCATCTTCACGCGGGAAGGACACATCTTTACCACGGGCTTCACCAGGATGAGCCAGCGGGAGCTGGGCTTGTGGGACCCGGTAACGAGGCCGCATGGAGTGATGCTCCTGGGAACGTGGCTCCCCTGGTCCCCACCCCAATCCCAAATTCCCCACCCCCAAAAAAAAAAAAAAAATAGCCATGCCAAGTTCCCATGTGTGCTGTGCTGTGCCTGGGCATGGGGAGTGTTTGGGGGGGCTGGGGGGCTCCCCCAGAAGAGGAATGGGGCCGGTGCAGGTAAGCAGGCGTGGGGCAGGGGCATGCCGAGCAGTGGGTCCTGGGGGGGACGTCCCCGTCCCCGCAGTGTGCTGTGGCCAAGGCGTGTTGTGACTGAGCTGGGGGGGGGGGAGCGGGGCTGCTCCTCACCCCCAACCCCTTGCTGCGACCCCCCCACAGAATAACTTCGAGGAGCCCATCGCCCTGCAGGAGATGGACACCAGCAACGGGGTCCTGCTGCCCTTCTACGACGCCGACTCCAGCATCGTCTACCTGTGCGGAAAGGTAACCCCGGGGGGGGGCTGCCCCCCATTTTGCTATCCGCCCCCCAACCCCTGGGGACACGGGTGGGTGATGTGTGTGTCCCCCCCTGTCCCCGCAGGGGGACAGCAGCATCCGGTACTTCGAGATCACGGACGAGGCGCCCTATGTGCACTACCTGAACACCTACAGCAGCAAGGAGCCGCAGCGGGGCATGGGCTTCATGCCCAAACGCGGGCTGGACGTCAGCAAGTGCGAGATTGCCAGGTGGGGGCCCGGAATGTTTTTGGGGGGGGGGTGGGAAGTGGGAGGGGGGCAGCCGGACCCTGAGCATCCCCACCCCACACAGGTTCTTCAAGCTGCACGAGCGCAAGTGCGAGCCCATCGTCATGACGGTGCCGCGCAAGGTGAGCCCCTGGGCACCCGCATGGGGATGGGATTTATTTTAATTTTTTGGGGGGTGGGGGACACCTCATCTCACCTGCCACCCCACTGTCCCCGCAGTCAGACCTCTTCCAGGACGATCTGTACCCCGACACCCCGGGCCCCGAGCCGGCCCTGGAGGCGGACGAGTGGCTGTCGGGGAAGGACGCGGAGCCCATCCTCATCTCGCTGCGGGACGGCTACGTCCCCAGTCAAGAACCGGGAGCTGAAGGTGGTCAAGAAAAACATCCTGGACAACAGGCCCCCCCCGGGCCCCCGCCGCAGCCACTCCACCTCCAACACCGACCTCTCCGTGAGTGTCCCCCCCCTTCCTTTAACTGGGCACCCCAGGCTCCGTGCCACCCCTCGGCACCGGAGCCGTCCCCGTCTCCTGGAGGTTTTGGGTTGGGATGGAGGCAGGGAGGGTGACCCCATGTATGTGTGTGTCCCCCCCCCTGCAGTTGCCCACCCTGGACGAGGTGCTGGAGGAGATCCGTGCCCTGAAGGAGACGGTGCAGGCGCAGGAGAAGCGCATCTCCGACCTGGAGCACAAACTCTGCCAGTTCACCAACGGCACGGACTAGCGCCGCGGCCGCGGGCAGGGCGAGGACTGCGCCCGCCCGAGGCAGGCATTAAATCCGAGTCCCCGCAGCGGGCAGGAGGCCAGAGCCATGTTCTTTCCCCAGGAGCCGAGGCTGAAGGGTGGGGGGCCAAATGTAGCCCCCCCACCCACCCCAGCCTCGCACCCCTCTCCCCAGCGGCATCGCTCCCCCCCTGCACCCCGGGTGCCGAGAGGTGTCCGGGGACAGCACCCAGGGGACGGGGGTCCCACCTCGGTGCCCGGAGCATCCTCCCAGGACTGGGGGGGGGGGTTGTGCCCCCCCCTCCCATCCAGCCACACACTGGGGTACAGTGCTCCCCCCCCCCAACCCCACAGCTCCTATTTATGGGTGCTCCTGGGGTCCCCCTCCAATAAAGGGCTCGGCCTCCCGTGGCTGCGGGGCAGGGACCTGGGGCCGTATGGGGGGGCCCTGCCCTGCACCCCCCCCTGCCCGCACGGCCCCGGGGGGGGGCAGAGAGAGGCCGAGAGGCGCCCGTTCAAGAGCATTTATTGGTGTCGGCCGCGCTCGGAGCTGCTCGGGGCTCCCCCGGCCCTGGCCCAGACGTCGCTTGTGGGGTGCGTGGCGGGGGGGCCGCTACGAAAAGTCCCGCGGGAGCGAGCCGGGGGCCCCCCCCTGCAGCCCCCCTGTGTGCAAAGAAGGAGCAGCCCGGGGCGGGGAGGTGGGGGCCCGGGGGTTAGCACCATTTGATGTAAGGTTTCTCTTGGGGCTGGGGGGGCAGTGCCCAGGATGGGGGGGCTGGGAGAGGGGGGTGGGGGTGGGGGGCAGCCGAGCAGGGAGATTGGAGGGGGGGGGGGTGCAAGCGGGGGGTGAAAGGGGGGGATGTGAAACCAGGCACCCCTTTGTGGGCACCCCCTTGGCTGCCCCATGTGGGCTGGGGGTGCAGTGGGGCTGAGCCCCCCCCCCTGTTGGCAGGCAGAGCAGCTCCCGGGTAAGTGCACTTGGTAGCGCCTGGGCAGTGGGGCCAATTTGGGGGGGGGGGGGCAGCAGGGGGTGCCTGGAGCCTCACAGCTCTGGGGGTGCCCGGGGACAGCCCCCCCCACACTCACTCCATTCAGGGTGCCCCCCCCCCACCTCCCCAGGGCGAGGGCAGCACCCCAGGGGGGTGGCTGGGGGGGGGGGGGACACAGGGCTGTGGGACCCCCCCCCGCTCCCTGCCACCCCCCCAGCACCCCCTTAGGCCCTCACCCCCCCAGCTATGGGGACCCCCGTGCCCCCCCATGTGCCCCCCCTTACACACTCACACACACTCACACCCCCCCCATCTCCCCCCTCTCCCCACCCACCCACCCCACCCTGCGCCCCATCCGCGCGTTCTCCCCGTCCCTGGGGGGGGAAAACCGGGGGGCTGGGGGGGCTCAGCGGGGGGTCACTTGTCGGTCAGGGAGAGCTGCAGGATGCGCTGCAGCTCCTCTTCCTCCTGCCTCGTCCTCCTCTCGGCCTCCTCCTGCTCCCGTGCCGACAGCGCCATGGCCAAGCGCAGCTGCTCCGCGTAGCTGGGGAGCAGCGCCCCGGGACCCCCGCCCCCCCCTGGAGACGGGCTGCCCGGGGCTCGGGGGGCTGCCGTGTGCTGGGGAGTCCTAGGACGGGCGGCACGGCCTCAGCCGGCATCCCCCTGGGACCCCCACGATGTGCCAGGGGTCGGTGCCCCCGCTGGTGGTTGCCCCCTGACCCTTTTTTTTTTTTTTTTTTATCCCCCCCCCCCCCGCACCCTAGGGTTTGGGGGGGGGGCGCTGGCCGGACCTTACCAACCTGTCTCCTCGGCGGCCCTCGTGGGACATGGGGTGGGTGCCCGGCTTGCTGTTGGTCAGAGCCTCCCAGATGGTGACCTGGGGGTGGTGGAAAGGGGGCTGGGGGTGGGGGGGCTCGGAGGGGAAATTCAGCCCCGCTGTGGCACGTGGGGGTGGGGGGAGAGGGGTGGGTGACACCATGGGGTCTGTGGGCTCAAAGGAGGGGGAGGAGGGCGGTGGGTGAGGATGAGGAAGGAGGTTGGATGGGGATGAAGAGGATGAGGAGGATGGTGGATGAGAAAAATGATGGATGAGGAGGCTGAGGAAGTTGGATGAGGATGAGGAGGAGGAGAATGGTGGATGAGGATAAGGATGAGGAGGAGGATGATGTTAGATGAGGATGATGATGAGGAGGAAGATGCTGGATGAGGAGGATCAGCATGGTGGATGACAAAAATGTTAGATGTGGAGGACGAGGCTGAGGATGTTGGATGAGGCTGAGGATGGTTGTTGGATGAAGACGAGGAGGAAGATGTTGGATGAGGAGAAGGAGGAGGAGAAGGAGGATATTGAATGAGGATGAGGAGGAGGAGGTAGAAGATATTGGATGAGGAGGAGGAGGATGAGGAGGAGGAGGAGGAGGAGGAAGAGGATGATGATGAGGAGGAGGAAGATGTTGGATGAGGACAATCAGCATGGTGGATGAGAAAACTGTTGGATGAGGCTGGGGATGTTGGATGTGGAGGACAAGGCTGAGGATGTCAGATGAGGCTGAGGATGGTTGTTGGATGAAGATGAGGAGGAGGAAGATTTTGGATGAGGAGGAGGATGTTGGATGAGGATGATGATGAGGAGGATGTTGGATGAGGAGGATCAGCACGTTGGATGAAAAAACTGTTGGATGAGGCCAGGGATGTTGGATAGGGAGGACAAGTCCGAGGCTGTTGGATGAGGACGAGGCCGCTGGGTGATGCCGAGGATGGGCTCTCCCCATGGTGCCCACCTGGTCGTACTCGCTGCCCGCCTCCAGCAGGCTCTGCTGGATGGCGAACTGCAGCAGGTCGTCCTCGTCCTCCCGCAGGGCGTCCTGGTGGGTGCCCACCACGCTGTACCCCCGCGGCACCTCGAAGAGCGCCGGGTCCATCTCGCACGCCCGGCACGACGCTGCGGGGAGACAGGGGCCGGCGTGGCTGGGCACCCCGCCGCCCGGGACCCCCGCCGGGACCCCTCCCCAGGTGCCTCCCCCACCACCTACTGAGGGAGCTGGAGCTGCTGACGCTGGAGGAGTCGCTGCTGGGCGAGGGCGCCTCGCTGCTGGGGCTGTGCCGCAGGGAGCTGACGGGCTCGTCGCACCCGTTGAGGTTCCCGAAGGTGATGCGGGCGTTGAGGATGTGGAAGATGGGGATTTCTGCCCCAAATAATACAAAAATAATAATAATTATAAAGGGTAGGGATTGAAGCTGGCTGCTTGGGCTATGCTGGCGGCAAAGGGTCCCCCCTCCCTGCACCCATGGGTGCTCGGGTGCCCCCCACCCCGGTACCGATTTTGACGGGGAAGCCGGGCGGGAGGCGCAGGGTGATGAAGTCCCGCAGCTTGGCGAAGAGCGCGTTGCTGATCGCCATCAGGTCGATGATGGGGGCGACCTGCTCGCAGAGGGACAGCGGGTGGTCCTCGCACAGCCACAGCTTCGCCTTGAACCTGCGGGGGCGCGGGGGGGGGGGACACAGGTGCCGGGCTGGGGAACCCCGGGGACCCCGTGATGGCAGCGGGGTGGGGGTGGCACGGCAAGGTTGGGGGGGGGGGTCCCCTCCTCCCCGCTCGCCCCCTCACTTCTGCGTCTTGGTGGTGAGCTCCATGGGCCGCCCCATGTCCCGGTTGCCCAGCTCGAAGTTGGGGTTGAAGTACTCCTCGGGGGTGATGGCCGTGGGGTTGGCGTGGCTCAGCGTCTGCGTGATCAGCGTCTGCGGGGACGGCCCCCACGGTGGCACAGCGCGGGGGGAGCACAGCCACGGGGACCCCCCTCCCTCCCCGTGCCCCCCACACTCACCCCGTTGTTGGGCCCCACGTGCTGCTCGGCGATGCCCAGGAAGGACTGCAGCGGGGTCTTACTGCCTGTGGGGTGAGGATGGGGGCCGGTGAAGCCCCCCTGCCTGCCGCAGCCCCCTGCCCGCCGCAGCCCCTCGCCCTACCTTTGCTCTTGCCCTTGTGCTGGTCCGAGAGGTGCTCGGTCCGCGTCCGCGTGATCAGCTCCACGTTGGACGCCCCGTAGACCTGTCCGAGGGAGGGGAGTGCCAGAGGTGGTGGGTGTTCCCCGAAAACCGGCCGTACCCCCGCCACGGCTCAGGCCCCCAGCCCCTCACCTTGGCCTCGTACCCGTTCACCATCTCCGTCTTCTCACTCCGCCAGCCCAGGATCCCGGACTTGTTCCTGGGGGTGAGGGGGGACACTGTCAGGGATGGGATGGGATGGATGGGATTGGAAGGGATGGGATGGATGGGATGGGATGGGATGGATGGATGGGATGGGAGAAATGGGATAAGATGGGATGGGATGGGGTGGGATGGGATAGGGAGGGAAGGGATGGGATGGGATGTGAAGGGACAGGATGGAAAGGATGGAATGGGTTGAGATGGGATGGGAAGGATCTGATGGGATGGGATGGGATAAGATGGGATGGGGTGGGATAGGATAGGGTGGGAAGGGACTGGATGGAAAGGATGGGATAGGATGGGATGGGAAGGGATGGGATGGCACAGGATGGGACAAGATGGATGAGATGGGATAGGGATAGGCTGGGATGGGAGGGGACAGGATGGAAAGAATGGGATGGGTTGAGATGGGATGGGAAGGATGTTATAGGATGGGATGGGATGGGACATTGCTCTTGGATGGCCAGGACGTGGACACCCGGGGGGCTCATCGCAGCCCGTGCCCACCTCTCGAAGGCGATGTTCTTGGTGTCGAGCTGGGTGGTGACGACGGGGGCCGTGAGCCGCCCCATCACCTGCTCCTCCGTGGGCTGCACAGCAGCCAGCAGCACCTCCTGGTCGTGGCCGGCCAGGGCCAGCGTCTCCGAGTAGACCACCCGCCGGTCGTGGTCGATCTCCATCACCACGGCGCTGGTGTCTGCGGGGAGCGGGCGGTCGGCGCAGGGGACAGCCCCCGTGTGTCCCCCCTCCTTGTCCCCACACCCCCCAGGTCCCCGTCTCACCCTGCCCGCGGAAGACGAAGCTGCGGTTGCCCCGCTGCCAGGTCATATGGTCGAAGCCCAGCAGCGTGGTGTCCACCCGCAGGTTCTGGCCGCTCTTCCACACCTTGTACGTGTCGCTGGGGCAGATCTTGGACACCAGCGGCACTGGGGGGAGACGGCGATAGCCCAGCCGGGGACGGGGCCACCCTGCGTCCCCCGGGTGGGCTGCGAGCGCTGAGCGGGGCGGGGGAACGCACCCAGCGCCTCCGAAAGGGGGGGACAGGGGCAAGTTTGGGGGGTGGGCACGGGGCAGGGGTGGGGGAGGACACGTTGGGAAGCCCCCGCTCTGCCCGAGCTTACCCCAGCTGGTGAATTCCCACTTCATCTCCACGTAGAAGTCCTGGGCCTGCCGGTGGGAGCGCAGCGGGGTGGGCAGGAGCCTGGCCGTGGTACCCCCACCTCCCCAAATTCCCCCCCCCAAGCCCCGGCGGGGGCAGGTACCTTGCGCAGCTTCTCCAGCAGGATGGGGATCCCGGCCAGGCGCTTGATGGCTCGCTGGTAGTCGCGGTAGCGCAGGACCAGCTGCACCAGCTCCAGGTCCCGGGTGCTCACGGCCTCCTGCAGCACTGCGGGGCCAAGGGCGGCATGGCACGGCATGGCACTGGTGCCACACATGTAGTGCCAGAAAGCAGCCCCCCAGGGAGCTGGGGCAGCGGGGTGAGCGTGCCCGTGCCCTGTGCCCAAGCCCCTGCTCACCCGTCCAGCCGCTGCGGTTCTCCTTGCCCACGTCAGCTCCATGCTTCAGCAGCACCCGGGCGCACTCGAGGTGGCCCAGCGTGGTGGCCAAGTGCAGCGGGGTGCGTCCTCGGGGGTCCAGCTGCTCGATGTCGGCCTGCCGGGGGGGTTGGCAGGGCTCAGGGGGCACCAGGATGGCCGGGACCCCCTGCCCGTGCCCTCCCACGGACGTGAGGCTCGTGGCCGGGGAAAGCAGCCGACGTTTGCCTCTATCTCCGTGAGCATCCCCATCCCCCTGAGCAGATGCATGGGCACCGCACCCCAAAATGCTCAAAACCCCAAGGTTTTCCTGCTCCCCCCAGCCCCATGGACTCGCTGCCAGCACCCAGCACGGCTCGGTACAGCCAGGCAGGGCTGCACCCGTGACACGGGCACGGAGCAGGGTCCCCACGCGCAGGCAGTCGATGGGTGCGTGCCCCCCACCCGCTGCACGGGGCGCCACAGCACCCAATGCAGCTGCGAGCTGAGAAAATCCCCCACCTCTGAGGATCTGGGAGGGGGTTTTGGGGCGGGTTTGTGCCCAGTTGCCAGGCAGCAGCTGCCGGCAGCCCCCTCCGCGGCACGGCGGGCGACGCTTGGTGCTGCGGCGGGCGCACGTGTTCCCCGCCGGAGCCGGGGGCGGGCGGCGCTGCGTGAGCGGAGCGAGCGGCTGCTCCGAGCATCCCCAGCCCCGGGGAGCCGTGCTGGGGCTGCGATTGTTTGTGCCAAGCCTGGAGGCTGGCACAGAGCCAGCCCTGAGGAATCCCCCCCCCCTACCCCTCCCCGGGCTCCGGCTCTCCCCGACGGCAGCGGCAGTGGCGCACCCAGCACCCAGCGTCCTACTTGGGGGAGGAGAGGGGGGGAGAAGCTGCAGCCACCCCGTTGCCAGGGTTGGGGGCACGGCTAGGGGGCTGATGGAGCTGTGTGGAAGCCCCCCAGCCTCAGCATCCCCCCCCTGCCCTCAAGCAGGCGGTACCCAGAGGGGGGCACTCGGATGGTGCCGGGGCAGGAGGCGCAGCTGCAGGACCCAAAGGTGCCACCCAAAGGTGCCGCCTGGGACCTTGCACCCCAAAGGGGATTTGGGGATGGGCAGGGGTCAGGTGGGGGCTCTTGCATGCTGGGGACAGGGCTCTCACCCCCCTAGCAAGTCCCCCCGCTCGTCACTTTTGTCCCCCTGCTCACCGCAGCGATGTCCTGGGGATGTCCCCAGGGCCGTGAGTGTCCCCATGTCCCTGGGGCTCATCACGCAGGGGACCCCCCAGGCTTCCCCCACCGCCCAAACCAAACAGACCCCCCCCCCCCTCCATCTCCTCAGGAGCCCGCGTGCTGCTCCAACGCTCTCCAGGCGACTGCTGCTTTTTAATTGCGCTAATGAAATGACTCTAATTAAAGCAATCGCCCCCCAGCTGGGGGACGGGTGCTGCAGGCTCCGCGGGGCTCCCCACCCGCAGCCGTGCCCCAGCGCCACGGGGCAGGGGGGGGGTCCAGGGCCACCAATTTGGGGACACGATGCCAGAGCCAGCCCCAGGGGGACACGGCGTGACCCAATTTCCACCCTGCACAGCGTGGGACAGCTCCGGGCCAGGGGGGGGCACAGCTGCCTGTCCTGGGGCTGTGACACCCGCTGGGGACGGGGACGTGTTTGGGGCGGTGGCGGTGCCACGTGAGGCCGCAGCACGGCCGCTCCTCGCCCCAAACCCCGCGGGTTGTCCCCAGGGTGGGGGACCTGAGGGTGGGCACTGACCCCAGAGCCGGTGCCCGGGTGGCAGCGGGGGACAGGGACCTGCACGGGGTGGCAGTAGTGGTGTCCCTGCGCAGCCCCAGGGGACAGCGGGGTGACCCCAATTACTGTCGTGCGAGACGGGGCAGGCGGTGGCGTGGGGCATCCTGGCACTGTGGGGTCGTGGCACTGCCAGCCGTGTCCTCACGCTGTCCCTGCCATGGGGACACACCGGGTCGAGGTCCCCAGGTGGGGACAAGCGCAGCCTGGGGCCCGGCGGTGACATTCAGGGGTGACCCACATGCAGCACGGCGAGAGGCGCGGCGAGGAGCAGCCCCACGGATCTGCCCCAGCGCTCCCAGCCCCACGCACCTGCACGCAGAGGGGGGGGGTCCCATGGGGTGCCACTGCCCCCCGTGGGGGTCCCCGGGGTGGCAGGAGGGCAGGGTGCCCAGGCAGGGGACAGGCACCCCCAGCACCCCCCGCAGAAGCCACACGGGCCCGCTCAGCTCAGGGCTGCAAAGGGCCGAGCCGTGTCCCCAAATGCCCTGGGTGGGGATGGGGAGGGGGCTCAGGCCAGGCTGCCCCCCCCCTCCTCTCCCCAAACCCCTCCTGCCCTGCAGCCTGGCCTGCAGCACCCAGCACCCCCCCCAGTGCACCCCCAGCACCCCTGGGTGCAGGCAGGGCCGGCTTTGCTCCCCCCCCAGCCACAGGGGCACGGTGGGGGCCCCAGGAGGAGCCCCCCCACACCAGAGCAAGGGGGGCTCGCTTAGAAAACCCCGCTCGCAGCCCCCGCATCCCCCCACGCCCTGCTTTGATCTCTGCCGCTCCTGGTGGAAAAAAATAAAAATAAACAACAAAACGACCCCAAATTACAGCGGAAATAAACCCAGCGGTGTTGGGGAGGGGGGGGACACAATGCCGGCATGCAGCCCCCCCCCAGGCCAGCCCCCACAATGGAGGCGGGTGTGGCGGGGGCACCACGGCACGGCGGGGACCCCCTGCCCGCACCCACCCGGCACGGGGCCACGCAGCACCCTAGGGTGCTGGGAGGGTGCCGGGGGGGGGTCGAGCAGCTGCATTTGAGGCTCGGGGGGGGGGCGGGGGGAAGGCACAGCCTCGCCGCCGGCCTCCGCCAGCGCCTGCGGTTTTCCTGCGTCTTCAGGGTTGGGTTTTAATTACCTGGATTGCAACGCCAGCGGGGAGATGGGGGCTGGGAACGCGCCCGCGGTCATCGGAGAGCTGGGGGGGGGTCCCCAACCCATGGGGGGGGGGCACAAGGAGGGTGCTGGGCCTCCTGGGGCTGGGGGCCCTCCCTAAAGGGTGGGGAGCTGGGGGCGCACCCCCCAGCCGGGCCCTCGGCACCTTGGGTTTGGGGGGGGGCGCGGAGGCCTAAGAGGGGGCTGGGGGCACGTGGGGGGGGGGGCACCGCCGTGTGCCAGAGCTGGTGGGGCTGTCACAGCCCTGCCGTGCCCGGGGGGGGCATGGGGGGACCCTGAGCCCTGCTGGCGGTGTGGTGAGGGGGACCCCAGCACCATCTCCATCCTTATCTCCATCCCCATCCCTACCTCCATCAGCATCCTTATCCCCGTCCTCATCCTCATCATCCTCCTCATCCTCATCATCCTCATCTTCCTCATCATCCTCAGCACCATCCTCACCCTCCTCATCCTCAGCACCCCGTGCAGGCACCATTGCATCAGCCCCGGCCGTGCCATTCCGTGCGCCAAACCGCGCCGGGGATGCCCCCAGACCCCCTCCAAACCTCCCCTTACCCGGACCACCCACCCCAAAAATTCTCCTTCCCCGCCTCCCCACCTGCTTGGCGCTGAGCTCCCGCTCCAGGTCCCGGGCTCGGTTGTGCCAGACGAGGTAGTGCAGCGGGTACCTGCCCTCCGGCCCCTTCCTGCCCGAGCAAGACGCGAGCATCCTCGGAGCATTGCGGGGAGCGGCGGGCGCGGAGCGGGGCGGAGCGGGGCGCGGGGCGCGGAGCGGAGCGGAGCCGAGCGGGGCGGGCACCTCCCGGCCGGGGCTGCCCCCCCCCACCCCCAATCCCCCCCCCACAACACATACACACACCCCTATGGCCCCCCCTCCCCGCACCGCCCGGCCTCATGGGACTTGTAGGCAGCGCGCATCGCGCCCTTCCTCCTCCTCCTCCTCCTCCTCCTCCGCCCCCCACCCCCAGCCACCCCCCCCCCCCGCCGTGTGTGTGTGTGCACGGTGCGGGGGGGCTGCCAAGGGACACCCGTGTCCCCCCACCCTATATTCACCTCCCTAAATTCACCCCCACCCCCCCCGTATTCTCCTTCCCCAGCCTGATTTGCGCCCCCCCGAGGTGGATGGATGATTCCCTCCCCCGGCCGTGGGGGGGTTTCTGTGGAGCCCCGACCCCCCCCCACCAGCAGCAGCAGCTCCCCCCCCCCGTTTTCCTTTTCCTCCTGCGTTTCTGCCTTTTCCGGCGGCCTCCCGAGAACAATGCGAGGCTGGGCCTCCGCTGCCCGGCCCGGCCCCCCCGCCGCCCCCCCTCTCCCTGGACCCCCCCGGACCCCCCCAGGACCCTCCCGGACCCCCCCGGTCCCCCCCAGCCCCCCGGTGCCGTGTTTTGCCCTCCCCCCCCCCAGCGTTGCCTGTCCCCCCCCCGCCGGGCCGGTGGCAGCCGGTGGCCGGGACCCCCCCTCCCCAAGCCCCCCCCCCTCTCCCCAGGACCCCCCCCCCCCAGGACCCCCCCATGTCCCCACCATCCCAAATGCCCCATGACGTCATGGGTCATCCCCATGGCAACCAGCGGTGAGGTTACAGCGCTGCCAGGCCCCCGGGGGGGGGACAAGATCTGGACCCCCCCCCCCACTCTGGTGGCCTGGGGTCCCTATGGTGACACCGGGGGGGTCCCCAGTGGGGCCGGCCCCCAGAGAGACCCCAAACCCCACCCTCACCCCAATCCCCCTTGGCGTCATCCCCCCCCGCACCTTCCCTACGTGGTGGGGTTCATCCATCCGGGGGGGTTTATAGGTGGGGGGGGTGGCAGGGAATCCTGTGCCCCCCCCACACCCGGCCCAGGCTGCCCGCAGTGACCCCACGCTGCGGCCGGGACTGGGGGCAGTGGGGGCACGGGGATGGGGGCACTGGGCAGGACTGGGGGTGCAGGGCTGGGGGCAGAGCGGAGCAGTGCCCGGGGCTGGGGGGGCTGGGGGCTGGACCAGGACCTGGACCAGGATCAGGATCAGGAGATGCCCAGGGCTGGGACCAGGTCCAGGACCAAGACAAGGACCAGGGCCAGGACCAGGAGCAGGAGCAGGACCAGGTCCAGGACAAGGATCAGGAATAGGATCAGGGGATGCCCAGGCTGAGGAGATGCCCTAGACCAGGACCGGGATCAGGATCGGGATCAGGATCAGGATCAGGACTAGGACCAGGACCAGGACCACGACCAAGACCAGCACCAGGTCCAGGACCAGGATCAGAACCAGGACCAGGATTAGGAGCAGGACCAAGACCAGGACTAGCGGATGCCCAGGACCAGGAGATGCCCTACAGCAGGACCAGGACCAGGACTCAGATCAGGACCAGGGAGTGCCCAGGACCAAGAGATGCACTGGACCAAGACCAGAACTAGGAGCAGGACTAGGACTAGGACCAAGAACAGGACTAGGAGCAGGACCAGGACCAGGACCAGGACCAAGCTCGGAACCAGACCCATTTGCTGCCCAGAACCAGAACCGGGCAGCAGGCTGGGGCTGCTCCATCAGCGGGTGCGGGACCGGTCCCGGTACCGGGGCGGTGCCGGAGGTGCGGGAGGTGCCGGTACCGGTGCGGGCGGTGCCGGTACCGGGGCGCGGGGCGGGGGCGGTGTCGGGGCCCCTCCTCCGCCGGGGCCGGGCTTGCGCCGCTTCCTGCGGAGCCGCCGGGCGCTGGGAGCAGCCGGCAGCCCCGGCCGGGGGGCCCCTCGCCGTCTGTCCCCCCCCCCTTTCCCCTTTCCCCTTCTTCCTCCTCCTCCTCCTCCTCCTCCTCCCCCCTCCCTCCCCGCCCTGCCCGGTGCCCCCGGCGGGCCCGGTCCGTGCCGCCGCCGCCCCCCCCCCCCCCCACGCTGGCGCAGAGGCCCGGGCCCGGGCCCGCCTCGCCGCTGAGGATGTCCCGGAAGGCGCAGCGGGCCGAGGTGTGCGCAGACTGCAGCGCCCCAGGTAAGGGCTGACCCCCCCCTAACAACCCCCGGCCCCCCCGGGCCCCCCCTTCCCCGTGCAGGGGCTGCAGCCCCCGGAGTCTCCGTTGCCCCCCCCCCATCTCCGGTGGGCTCCGGTTGCGGCTCCGGTTGCACCTTGCCCGTGAGCCCCCCCCCGGTTGTCTGTGTCCCCCCCCCCCACGTTGCATTCGCACCCCCGGAGCCCCCCAGGAGCCGGTGGTAGCCCTCCCGCCGAGCCCCCCCTGGGTGCACCCAGCACTGTGCCCCCCCGCTACGCCCGCAGCACCCCCATCCCCCCCCCCTCTCCAAACCCTGCACCCCCCCCGTGTGCGCCCCCCCCTCAAAAAGCAGTGCCAAGGGCCGCATCCACACCCCACAGCGCGCCCCCTTCGCACCCCACACCGCACCCCTTGGGATCCCCGCATCCCCCCAGCAGCCCTGCGATGCGCCCCAAATACCCCCCCCCACCGAGCACCCCCACCTTGTACCCCCCCAGCCCAAGAATCTCCTGGAGCACCCCAAATCTGCCCCCAGCCTCCGCGCCCCTCGGCACGGGCACTCCCGGTGCCATCTGGGGACCCAGCCCAGGGCAGGGTTTTGGGGGGGACCCGGGGGGGACCCTCCCCACGGCCCCCCCAGCGCCCACGCCGTGGGGCTGGCTGGCTGCGGGGCGGGCAGAGCGGGGCTGCAAGCCACAGCCTGAGCCTGGGCATGACGGATCCCATCCCCATCCGCGGCGGTGCCGGTGCCCGCAGCCCCGGTGCCGGGTGCCAGCCCCGCGGGCGTCGCGCCGGGGGCCGCTCCCCCAAAACCCGTGCCGGCGGCCGTCCCCGCGGCGCCGAGGCGATGAATGAACGGGGCCCGAGCGTCGAAGCTGGCCTCGCAGCCGGCCCCGGAAAGCTGCCCGCGGGCGAAGGCTGTGCCCAAATTATTCCGGCCACGTGCCAAGGGCCGGATCCTGCCAGGAGAGCCGGCGGCACGCGTGGGCGCGGGGCTGCCCCGGCCGGTGGTGGGCGAGCGGGGGGTACCCGGGGCTCTCCGCGGGGCGCCGCGAGCCTGGCGGTGCCGAAGCTCCCAGCCCGGGGGGGGAAATGGAAACCAGTTTCTTCCAATCTCTTATCACCCGGCAGCCATGTGAGGAAATGAGTTATAAAGTCCAGAGGCCGCTTCCTACCGCGCTGGGAGTGCCCGTGCCGGGGATGCGCGGCCCCACGTGGGTGCTCCAAGGGGTGCCCGGGGTGCCTCGGCCTCGCTGCCTGCCCTGCTCACCCCAAAACCCACCCTGCTGTCCCCAGGTGGGGCTGGCAGCTGGCCCCAACCCTCCCCTCACTGGGCCTGGGGGGGCTTCGACATCAGCCCCCCGTTACACACACCCCAACACGGGGCTGGCGCTCGCTCGGGGTGCGGGGTCCCTCGGTGCCAAGGCTCTCCAAGCCACCCTGATGCCCCCACTCATCCCGCTGGGTCCCGCTGGTGCAGAGGGGGTGACACGCCTGTGGGACCCCAAATCTGTAGGGTGCAGGGGCTGCAGCAGCCTGGCCGGTGTGGTGGTGTGTGTTCCCCCCCCCCAACGGCCCTGCACGCAGCGTCCTGTTCCCGGCAGCGCCCCGTGGGCCGCGGGCGCGGAGGCGCAGATGCAACCGTGCCGGCTGCCAAGGCGCTGCCATCTGCCCAGGCAGCGCTGCCAGGCTGGGGGGGCGGGGGGGCTGTGGGGCCGCGGCTGGGAGCACCCCCAAAATGGGGTCCTCAGGGCTGCCTGTCACGCTGTGGGACCACCAGTGGGGTTTTGGGGAGGGGGCCGGGACCCCAGCAGGCAGGAAGGAAGCGCCGGAGCCTGGCCGCTTGCCCGCCTTCCTCTATGGGGTCGTGGGGACAAGGCACCATTTGGGGACAGGGTGGGCAGCGAGGGCTGTCACCCCCCCGGGCTGTGTGCCCCTGCGTGTGTCCCTTCCTCCCATGGCACAGCGGGGTGTTTGTGTAGGCCCTACAGAAACAAGGGTGGAAGTGCTGGCTGTGGGGCTGGGCAGAGGCTGGCACGGCTCTGCCGCACCAGAGGGGCTGTTGGGGACAACCTGCGGGCAGGAGGGTGACAACCCCTGCCCCTTCTGTCCCCTGCCCTTTCCACCCATGCAGGGTGGGGTCCAGGACCTGTTTTGGGTGCTGGGTGGGGGGAGCTGCCCCCTCCTGAGGCCAGCAGCGGGGCCCCTGTGGGTGCCGTGGCCGGAGCGGGGCCCGGTGCCAGCGGCGCAGCCGCTCAAACGTCCCTTTGTTCTCATGGGGACACAAAGGGCTCCAGTCCGGCCGGGCCAGGAGGGGGGGGGCAGCAGCCAGGGCTGGGGAGGGGGCACAGTGCTGGGGGGGGGGCACAGCACCAGCCCCCCAAATCTGAGGGGTTGCAGAGCCAGCGATGGCTGCGTGCATGGGAGAGCACCGGCACGGGGTGCCCACACTTTTGGGGGCGCGCTGCGCCCAGCCAGAGACCCCCCCATGCCCTCCCATGCCCAGCCAGGGGCTCAGGGGGTGCACAGCTCCCCCCCCCCGGGTTTGGGGTGCCCCCGCTCACAGCATGGGGCTGGCGTCGCCCCCGCTGCCAGCCGCCCTCGTGCTGGGGGAGGCCGAATCCTGCCCCCCCCCCCAGGCGGTGCCTGGTTGCCAATGGAAACCTTTGGGTTTCCCCCGGCGGTGGGATGAGCCCCTCGCCGTCGCCTGGGAAACCACCGCGTTGCTGCGGCGACGCTGCCCCCCCAGAATAAAAAATTCGGGTGTTGCACGGAAGGAAGGGAACCCCCCCGTAACGCCCCGTGCCCCCCGCAGACCCCGGCTGGGCTTCCATCAACCGCGGCGTCCTGATCTGCGACGAGTGCTGCAGCGTGCACCGCAG